AGTTCTCAGGGACCCCAGACAGTCCACAGTTTTGCTCCCTCCCAGCTTCCTGACATTGAGAGTTAATATGTGGTCTGTCTGGGGGTCCCTGAGAACTGGGTTGGGAAATACTGCTTTAGACAATAGGCTGCCAAGAATATATCAAATAATCGTTTAATAATCAATCTGACCCTATTGGCTCATCCTGTAAAACACCTTCATTTTGTGTCCAGGCTGGAGCACAACTGCTGGGCCCAGTAACTGGGTACCTTGGGAATGCTGGTCCATGGGGCTGGGAGGCGGGGCCATCCCACTGTGAGTCCCAGGTCGCATCGTCATCCCCTTCATCTGCCCAAAACGAGGGTCGTCCGCTGTGCTCTTCTCATGCATGCCCTCCATGGGCTGAGGAGAAACGCAGGTCTCAGAAACACAAAGGCAAAAAGCTCCTAAAATGCTTCCATCCATCCATCCATCCATCCATCCATCCATCATCAACCATCACTTATCCAGTTCGGCATTCCAGCATGCCCTCTGCTTATCCCAGGAAACTCAGGGAATGTGACACCCTGTACTGTGGTACACACACCCACATGTGATATTATAACACGGGGTGGCAATCCCGATCCTGGAGGGCCGGTACTCAGCAGGTCTTCCATCCTACCTGGTCTCTGATGAGCCACACCTGACCTCAGGCAGATAGTAACTCATCAGGTAGGATAGAAAACCTGCTGGATATCGGCACTGCAGGATCAGGACTGCCACCCCTGTAGGATCAGGACTGCCACCCCAGTTATAGATTATGGACACTGCTCAGAGGTACCGATTGATAGTGAAACACACGTGACCTACACAGAGCCAGGGATGGGATTCGAACCTCCAACCCGAAGGCATGTGGCATGGTCAGTATATCACTGCCATTTAAAGTAAATAGTTTTATTAATCATTCACGTTTTTAACAGGTAGTTGCTAGATGATATGGGAGCAGATGGGAGAAGCAGCACATGCTTCTGGTCCGGGGGGGCCGCCGGGGGGCCAGGGATCCCAGCCACTCACTTTGTGCAGCTGGTGCATGTTCTCCTGAGAATATCCGGAGGCCACCAGGGGGGGGTGCGGGTGCCCCGAGGACGGCGGTCCTGGGCTGGGGCCCATCATGCTGTGGGCAGGGCCAGGGGACGGTCCGGGACCTGGTGATGGGCCTGGCCGGGGGGTGCCCCCCATCGGGGGGTCTGGGGTGGACATCGCTCAGCTGATCCCAGTAGCAAAAAGCAAGACACCAGCAGCAGGTGGCGTCCTGCAAGGTGGGAGAAGAGAACGGCCGCATTTCAGGATGTATCTCTACACCTTCGTTCTCTGCCTGACATAGATGAGTGGCTACTGAGCACGACCCTGACTGAGCGAACTCTGAACCGCCAGATGCGGAAGATCCCAGGGATACAGCTCATGTATTTTAAAGAGATTTGATTAGTTACATTATGTCGTTTTGGGAATAAAAACATTCTCTTAAAGAAAACAAGGCATAAGAAAACAGACTGAAAAAAATATATTCCATCCATCCATCTTCCCACTGCTTTTCTTGATCTGTGGGGGCCAGGAGTCTATCCCAGACAGCAAAGGCCATCAGGCTCAGGTACACCCTGGACGGGACAGGACGCCCGTCTATCACAGGGCACACACACACATACCCTTAATCATGCATTACAGACATTTCAGAGATGCCAGTTAACCTATTGTAGGAGCAAACCAGAGTATCTAGAGGAAGCGCTCACAATGCAAGCTGGACCTTCAAACTCCAAACACAAGACAGTGGTGTGAATCAACCCCTCCTCCCACTCCATGGAGGTGTGAGGCAACACAGAGTCACTCACTATTAAAACAACACAGTATTAAAGTATCATGTTCGTACGAGTAGCGTACTAGCGTATGTTGCACATCAGCTATAAAATAACACCTCAGACCTTTAATGTTGAAAATTAGACAGATTATTGACATAGAGGTAATTAGCTTCCTCTTGCCCTAATTAGTATGAGCAGATTGATGTTTGTATGTATGGAGAATGACCCACTGCCACCACTACGGCCATAAAAATGCAGTGTCCCTCTTTTGTGCTCGAGCAGCAGAGCGAGTTAAAAACCGAATGCACAAGCGGGGAAATCTCAAGTGCACAGAATGGCTGCCATTTTGTTTTTCAGTTCTCACAGGGACTTTATTGCACTGTGACAAGAGTGGCATACAGCATGGGGAGACGACGATAATCGCTGGGCCATTTCATGTGTTAAAAAAGGAGGGGGGGGGGATGAATAAGCAAGAATCAGAAAATCCCTTCTGGAGTGAAAATGTTGTGTGACTGGCCAGTGACACACAGCTGTAAAGTAATCAGAGCTAAACCACTACCACATACGACCCATAACTCAGTTAACAGAGAAGGTAACATAACATTTATTATTGTAATTTATAAAGATATAGAGCTGTGTACCTTGTGTACTAGGATTCAAATAATTTTATTACCCATGCATTTACTACTATAACTGGACGCTTGGTCAATATGCACAAAACTACCATGCTAATTTTCATCGGGAAATATAAAAACACAGGACAGAGCTGAGATTTTCTGCATTATCTGACTTGCTGTTTATACATCGTCACCCAGGTAACGCTGCCGCGAAATGCTTTAGGATGACTTGCTAGCAAAATGCGTTAAACTGTATTAAGTTGGTTTGATCGATTGGTTGGTTGATTTATTGAGTAATTAGAAACACAGCCGGCATGTACACATATCACTGCATAACCATGTTAAATTCAGATCCCAGTCAAAAGATGAGAGAACGCGATAATAATAAATAATAATAAGCAATTACTATATGCAGCTACTGGCTGCATTAGTTACCAACGCATATTACCATGACACGATTCTAACCTGTAGATCCAAGACGGGCATCACAAAGAGTCTTAACCGCAGGATTGCAAATCAAGAAGGAATAGTTTTACATCAGCATCCATGGCCAAAAATGTAAATCAATGTACGTCGTCCCTCGTTCATAGGAACTGACTGATCATACAGAAATATTCAATAAATATTTATTTTACGTTGGATGATTACAGACGGGGTTAAACCCGTTATATTGTAACCAAAAAAATCAGTTATGTAGGTATTTATTTCAGCTGAGATGCACATTGAATGCTTCTGTTAATATTAAACTTCACGATCACCTCGATCAGCGTCAAATCCTAATCTATGTTACTATCTATATATAGTTCACAAGTATTGGATTAATGACGTCGGTTTCTTAGAGAATTTGATAAAGCTACTCCAATTTTAATAACTGCTCTTCTTTTAACAAATACTGAACCATTTCAAAAGCACCTGACTAATCCACAGCAGATGATTGATTTTTAAATTTTATCATTATGGTCATGTTGGCTTATTATAATGCATACAAGATATTTAAAGAAAACCTGAACGTTACAAAATCGATATCTGTACTGCGTACCAAAAAAGCCGCATATTTCCGTGCGCAAAACGAAGCACGAATTAAGTTGATTAATCCGATCCGATCAGTTTCTTGTCACTGTTTTTCACTCAAAGCAAATCCCCGAAATGCATTCATTCATTCTGCCTTGCAGCCCTTTACGGCAGCGCCGCAGTGAGCTTCTTGTTTGTAGGCTGATCTAAAAACAATAATACCAAGATGTGCAATCGACACATCTGGACACACCTGGAAAACCGTTTAGGAAGAAAATACGCATAGCCAGGGTACATCCGAAGGGGGAAATGAAGCGTGCTGACGGCTGGCTCAGACTGACTTACCGGCCGTAAATACACGCCTGGTCAGTACCTAGCTATCGCCGCCTTGTTTTCTTTTACTAGTCGATGTGGGCAGCTCTCCTCTGCTTTTCATTCCCCTTTCTCCTTTCACTGCAGGCTGGGAAACTGCCTTGCCGCACCTTTGACAACTCTAGCGCCCCCTCCCCATTTTTAAGTCCCCCTTTTTTCCCCCCTCGAACAAAAAGGCACCGTCTGAGCAGGAGCAGCGCAGGCTCAGTTGAAACAGTACTGCAGGGAAGAATGCAATGCATGGGACAGACCAAATGCGAGAGTGGGGGATGGGTATCTCGGCACATACAGCTGTCAGCGCACCCTATATGATCGGCCGCTAACGGAAACCGCGAGCGCGAGTGAGATTTGGATCACCGGGCGCCCGGACTGCCAGCGTCCCTTTAATCGTCACAATAAAGAACAGGCAATAATGCAGTGCAGCTACAGTGAAACATCCAGAAGCTGGGGATTCCGGGTGGGGGATGGGGTCGATTGAAACTAAAATTTTACGTCACTTACATCTTTTGGCATTCTGCCTTAGCGAATGGAGACAGACTCCAATTTGTATTTGATATGGAATGTACCAAATTCTAAGTGTCCCCCCTGAGACTGCTGCTATCATGACCTTGGAGGGGGGGGGGGGCAGGGTAGTATCACTGTGACATCTGGATAAATTGCACGTATTGTTCTCGCCTTACAATTGTTTACAGAAAGCAACTGAACCCTGACTCAAGCGAGTTTGTCTACTTACATGACAACAGTTGTAATATGTGTTCAGAGAAGTCCTGAATTGGTGAGCACCATATCTCTGATGGAAGGCATACAAAGATGATAAACGTGATCGAAGTTATCCACTGGGTCAAGCTGAGCCTATTCCAGAAAACCTGTTCGGGATGCTACTCCATTGCGGGGCCCATAGAGGTCTCAATTTATCTAAGCGCAGGCTTTAGGACTGCAGGAGCAAGCGAAGACCAAAGGCTGCTCAGCGTTGGGTGTGGGAGCCAACGGGTTTGCCTATTAAGAAAAACTCCTGTAGTAATTACACCAATAGAAAACACACAATGGGAACATTAATCCTGCAAGCAGCAGACAAGAGCTTGGTCATTCACCAAACACTCACTCAACCGGAAAGTTCAGTACTAGGGCCATTAATATTGACTTGGTTGTTGCATGTTACCTGCAATGTGGAAACCAAGATCTTACACACTTGTTTTAAAAACTCATTTATTCCATCATCTTTACAGTGGATTTACAAATATATCTGTAAATAAATATGCAGAGTAATTAACTTACGCCTTCAGAAGTTGTATTTAAAAAAAAAAAAAAAAATCAAAACCTGAACTAGTATGATTTTTCCATGAAAATATGCTTCTGAATTTTCTGAGCACAAAATGTACAGAAGTCAATTATTCATACAGTGTACGTAAAAAACAAAATAATGGCATGTCCTGGAGGGGAGGAACATCACTGCACCTATAAAAAGGATAAAAAAACAGACTGATCTACTTGGACACTTGTTGATCCCAAACATGCAGCTCTGAGGCCTTTGGAGAAACCAAAGACTGCATTTCCCACAATTCCCCTGGAGTTCAACTCATTGTAGAGCATTGGGCAGTTGCTGGAAAGCTTGGGGATCAGTGTGGGGAAACTGCAGAGGATGTCCAAGTACAGTAATGGATCAAGGTCAGCGATGAGGCATCTCGGATGCAGGTAATGAGGGACATTGCACAAACACAGAAGCCCATTAAATAGTGTACAGTTTGGGCTTTGGCGTGACGAGGGCTGCGCAGATCCACTCAGGATGTGCACTACAATTTAAGCCTCTTATGACATTAAAATAAATGCAAGCTTTACACTAGACGCCACATTTGTAACGACAGAGCCCAACAACCACAATGATTCTGGACGACGCTGCAATGATCTTTAAAGTGTAAAAGTTGCAACAATAAATTAAAATAAAATATCACTCACTCGCTCACTCACTCAAGAATTACACACCATTCCAGACAATTTTCTGTCTGGGCACCCTGCCACCCCCCACAAACATTCAGCAAACGTATTAAGGTAAAATCCAGTAAAATAAATTACAAAGAAAAGAAAATTAAAATCCCAGTAGCCGTGTTAGGCTAACTTGTGATTAGCTTACCGGACAATTATGTAGTCAGACTAGCATCCTTAAGGGATGGAAAGCACCATACAAAGTTATACACTTATAGTTATGAATCCATTCAAGTCAAAGATGTTCAAATTACACCAAACAGCAGGAATCTTTCAGCTTGGGAACCATCCACATCACCTCCACATCTCCCTGCACACATGGCAGAACTCGCCCGCTGCACCTCGCTTTAAGGATGGCCTCGACATTACCTACCGCTCACGAAACACTGCCGGAAGATCGTGTTTAGGAAATGCAAGGTGTACGACTGCAAATCAGAAACTCAAAATGGAAATAAAAGAAAAAACAACCATAAATCATTTGTGACAATCTAGAAAAACCACTTGTTCTCGGATAGAACCCCTCTGTGCCATTAAACTACAGTGACTACAAAAGTTCCCTGAAGATAGTGTTCTACACCCGGTCTCTTTCTTTACCGTGATTCCTCCACCAAGAACTCAAGACACCAGCCTGGGGGGGGGGGGGGGGGGGGTGGCGGTGATTCAGTTTGAACCAGCTGAAGCGGCCCAACAGTCATTTGCTTCCATGCCGGTGGGAGGGAGAGGGGTCCTTTCTAGTGATCAGCGGCCGGTCCAGCGCGTTCACAGGAACACGAACTCATCCACGCTGCATCTCTTCCCGCCGCCGGCCTTTCCCCTGGGTTGGATGTGTGCGTCCTGCTCAGGCATCACCCCACTCTGCCCCTCCAACCCGTAATCCTGCCCCCGGCCTTCTACGAAAGTGAAGATTGGGTACTTCTCCTTAGAGGAAGACAGAGCCTAGATTTTGAAATAAGAAAAGTATTAAAAGAAATAGAATAATGAGTTTGAAACTTGGGCTTTTTTGGCCAACGATCCACTTTTATAATTGGGGCTCTTTGGCAGTGTCGCCCAAATCAGTCCTCGAGGACCCACAGCCGGTCCACATTTTTGCTCCCTCCAAGCTTCCTGCCAGACTGGCCACATTTTTGCTTCCCGGCAGGGAGCTTGGAGGGAGCAAAAACGTTGGTGTGTGGGTCCCCGAGGAACGGATTGGGAAACTACTTCTCCTTGGGGGGGGGGGGGAAGTGAAAATGGAAACTCACCGTGCTGACCATGATGCAGAGAGACTCAAAGTCTTTCTGGCTTTTAGCGTAGAAGCCAATGGTGCAGCTGGGGTCCATTCGGCTGAAGCTCATCTTCCGCGGAGAGTGACAGTGAAATGACTGCGTGGGCGGACAGAAGGGTCAAAGGTCAACCCTCGTCATTTAGCACACAAGGGCCTCAGTGCGGCTGAAGTCAAACTTAACGCGTCATACATGCTGTGAAATGCAGGACAGTTTGTGATGACGAGACCGAAAGGAGAAATTTGAGATCCGCTTTATTTAAAATTAAGGATCTTCTACTTCAATACAAGACAGTCACGTATTCCACTTGAGATAAGTAGAACAGAAACTGATACAGCTGAAATTTTACATTTTTATGCCTACAAACACCCATAATCTTCAAACATCGACACAGAACTCCGTAGCTTTTCCCGTTCCCAAATCAGTTACTTATTTCTCTGAAACCATCCAGAATGTTCCTAATGAGACTCGACTGCCCAACTAACAGACTGTACTGGGGACGCTCCTACCTCCAGTGGGAAGTTGTTCTGGGTGACGTCCACCACAGACTGACAGTAGTGTGGGTCCAGATACAGCAGCTGATCATCTAGAGGACAGACAGGACTCACTGAGTGAAAAGGCAGAAGGCTGGGGAGAGAGAGAGGAAGACGAGGGAGAGCACTCTCACCCTGGAAGCCGATGAAGAAGAGGGAATGCTTGGGCTTTCCGCCGATGATGCCAATGCAGCAGTCTAACCTGAGAATGTTCTAGAATGACAAAGATGTGACATGAAGAGTTAACTCCTCCCCCAGCTCTTCCTCAAAGACATAAAAAGCAGAGACACAGCGAGGAGCCTTCCCTACCTTGACACAGTCTATGTAGGATGGGTTCAGGGACTCTCCACCCAGTCGGACTGGGACCAGGACAATAACAGACTTCCACCCTGAACCGGACTGGGACGAGCCCTCTGACTGAGAGCAGTCACACCGCCGCATAACATCCTCCTTATACACTGCAAAGACAGGAAACGGGTGATTGTGTGGTTGGGAGCATGAGCCTGAATGACTGGTTTGACCGATTCATTTTGGAAAATGCAAAATTAACAACATACCAGTACAATCCTGAGCTACATACACAGTCAGATTGGGCAGCTCAGACGTTTTATCCACTGCTTTTCTGAAGGGGGGGAAAATAAAACTCATTATTTCATAAAAGCAAAGTCCAAAACTCACATTTAGATGGTTCATTAACATCGTAAAATAGATCAATGTATCCCAGGGGGAAATTTGGAAGGGAAATTCATCAGAAAAGTATTGTAAAAGATACCAGGGAAAAACAAAAAAACTTCCAATATATGAAAAATGTCAGAAAAAACTAAACAAAATGATATGGGAGCTGCTGTGACAGGAAGCCATTGAGGGCAGTGAAGGAAGGAAGGATGGATGAAGAGAAAAGCTGTGTTCCCACACACACACACACACACACACACACACACACACTTGACCAAGTCATCCATTCTAACGTGGGACCAACACGTGCCATCAACATCTCAAGATGACAGAGACTCACCTCAGTATGTGGGCGACGATGGAGGGCCCGTACCAGTCCCCAGCCTTCTTCCCTGAGCTCTTGCCCAGCTCGACCAGCTGGTGCACCCCGAATGGAGCACTGGGATGATCCCCGAACCAGCAAACCACCCGACGGTGCATGGCTTCCGCCTGCCTGTCCTGGCTGGTCTCTGAGGAGCATCTCCAAACGGGGGCTCTCTTCGACACTTCTGCGGTGCCCCCGCGTCCCCGGGGAGTGGGTCGGGAAGAGGGGAATGCGGGCAGCGAGACCCCTGAGCTCCGTGACGGGGAACGAGGCTTTAGGATCTCAAATTCCACATCTGTGAGCTGCTGCCCGTCGAGCCACGCCCAGCCTGGTGGGCAGAGACAGAGCTACGGTCACCAGCGCCATTCAAGACGTGGCCTCTGACCATAGATCCAAGAGGGATTAAGACACAAAAGCATGAGGCACAGACCCACAGCAGAATGACCATTAATGGGCATTAATAAGCGACTAGGAGTCTGTAGAAGCCCTACAGCTAGAGAACTAAACCACAATGTAACTTAAGGAAAAGTAGAAGCAGTATCAGCCTCAAGCCCAGTGGCATTTCCTGCGATATCTCCTGACCTGGGGGCAGCAGGTGCAGTAGCAGCCCCTGGGCCAGCAGCATCTGTCCACTGCGCAGCATGCAGCCCCAGCCGCAGTCCGTGGTCCACGTCGAGCCCTCGAGCTGCTGGAACTCGCGCCGGTAGGTCAGCCACAGGCGGGACACGAAGGTCCGGCTGAACCGCTCCACTTCATCTGAGGCGGAAAACAGCCAGTCACAACCGGCCGGTGCCGCTTACAAGGGGAAAAACACGCCCAGCTAGCTAAAGAGCACTCCTCCTACTGAATGTTAGGTTATCATAGCCCACAACTTTATGTCACACTAGAGGGCAGACTGACCCACTGAGCTGACACAAAGAAGCCTGGCAGAGATCCCCCCCCCCCAACACACACACACACACACACACACACTGCTCACCTTCATGATTCAGCAGGTAGGAGTGTCCCAGCAGAGTCAGGGGTGTGGTCTTGTTAAAGCTGGTTTTTGATTTGACAGACCAGCCTGGGAACCCAAACACACAAATAGTAATAGATATTTCCCAGTGAAAGACAGACATGGAAACCAGCTCGCAGCTACTCTACACATTTTACATTTATGTGACACTTTTATCCAAAAGGGGGAAGAGGGTTTACAATCTATGCATGCTCCCTGGGATTCGAACCCATGACCTTTGCATTGTAATGCTTTACTTGTCGAACTCCAGAAACTAATACACTGTACACACGCGAGACGTGTTTCTGGGCAGTGCAGCGAGGGCGGCCCCTCCCTCGGGCCCGTTCAGGCCTCGCTCACCGTATTTCATGTTGTTCCAGGCAGACATCAGCTTTGCCTTGAGCCGGTCCACCTCGTCAGGCTCCTCCGCTGCCTCCCTGCCCCCATCAGAGCCCGACCCATAGCCGAAATGCCCCCGGGGGTCACGGGCCGGAGCCCGGTAGCCATCGGGGTGTGAAGCCAGGCCCTCGTCCTGCAGGCCGCCCCCCAGGTATTGCGCCGCGCTGGGGGACACCGAATTCATGACCACGTAGGGGTACTGAAGGCTGCGCCTCCCGCGGGGCTTTTCATTGCCGCAGCAGCCTGTGACAACAGAAAGACATCTATAGGGAGGTCTGCGGGGGCCACTGCCACCGACCCGGAGCAGGTACTGGCTTGCTGCATTTATGCAATAGCAAAGGAGAGCTGGCAGTCTGGAATGGCACTGCACAAACATCACAATGTCACTCTATAAAAGACAGGAAGTGATGTCACAGATGGCAGCCGAACAAACCTCCAGGCGATCTGCTCTCCAGTGCCTTAGGTGCCCCAGCTGCCGGAAAGGGTTGTGTAACTATCTAGACCTGCTCCCAGTAGCTCAGAATGACAAACTGCTCTCCCACCACTCACCTGCAAAGCCCCACAGTGGAACCATATGCCCACAAAGCACACCTTTAGGCAAACCTGAAGTGCCAATTAAAGAGAAAAAAAAAAGCTAAAATCAATTAGTTCTTTCACATAACCACAGACCATCAACCAAAAACGGCCATATAAGCATATTTTCTTGCTTAGTTATTGTAGAATCCCCGCACACAAAACCTCTGCCTGCTTTTTGGAGGAACAAAAAAAGCCAAACACATCAGCAAATGTCGCCAACATGTGATACGCAGGAGTCAAAAATAAAGCAACTACTGTTCTGCTGAGCGCTTTAAAAATGTGTCTTCAGGCTCGGCTGGTCTTGTCAAATTTCGAAGTGCTTTCGAAACAATGGAGCATTGATTACCTGACAAAGGTTAGATGCCTTTTCTCAAAGCACACAGCTGACTGGGCGCTCAGTGAACACTGTGCGGTTTTAAAAGGCGAAGGTGTGTTCCTTAAGACTAGCAACTTAAAGGTTTACCGATACCAGGTCTAAATGGCTCCTTGATGGTTTACTACAGCACTTAGAATAAAGCGACGTTTGTGCGCCTTCGAGCTTTGATGGCTAACGTGAAATTAAGCCCCGAAAGAGCAGCACTTTTTGCTCAGGGCTGAGCGATCATATTGCAACCTGCGATTCGCTTACAAGACCGCAGAACTAACCTTTGTAAAAGCGCATCGTGAAAAACTTTACTGGCCGTCCGTATGCCTACTGATCCAGCCTCCTGGGGGTTGCACTTATTCACTAGGTCACTCAATTAAGATGAGTTTACTGGGTGACAAGGGTCATTTAGTCCCAGTAACTGGGTACACCCCTTCCGTTCAATTATAAGGTAATCGACAGTAAACTTTTTATGCATCCTTTATGAGTACACAGAGTTTCGTCAGAAGAGCAGGAAGGCAGTGTATGTACGCGGAAATGTCAAATAAAGCAATCGGAAATAGCCAATGCAATATTTCAAATTTCGCATCAGGTGCCGTATTACGGCCTGCGGTGTGTATCGGGCACAAGGGCATGCGACAGAAGCCATGTCGGTGAGAGATAACAGGCAAATCGACCATATATTTGTTAAGGCTCATGGAAAGTACTGAAAGGTGGCCGGTATCAGTGTCCATGTGGGAAGCCCTGGTCGCCGTGCGGGTCACATGCAGGTCGCAGGGTTGCTGGCAGTATCGTCGCTGCGCATTTTCTTCTCAGTCTGTGTCTGTCGGTGTCATTGAAAATCGACAGCCCAACAGATACATGTTTAACCACGGAGAGTCGAAGCACGATCTCACCTTGATTTGCAGAATACCGATTTCCCCCGTATTCTCGTGAAACTTCGCAGTTATAACTGGCAGCACCGGTTCTTCAATAACTTGTGCTGTCTGTCAGTTCAGTCGTCTCGCGTTTCCCGGTATATGACTGAATACTTCTCATTTCTGAACTATAACTCATTCGTTAAGGGTATTTCAGTATTTCGCAATATAATATTTAGAGCAAACGGCCTTTCCTGTAATTTCCATTGCTGTTATTACTATAATAAGACACTGACTGTATCGCTTAGGCGCAATACTGTAGTGAAGACTTCCTGTTCGCTTTCTCCGGAAAGTATTTAAGGGGTATCAATAATTCTGCAATTTGATTGGTCAGAGAAATGACACGACATATACTTATTGGTTTATTTCATGTCAATCAACGAATCCTGATTAACTATTGGCCAATATTCGGTAGCGTAATATATGACGTTCATAGCACGGTATCTTTCCGGAAAGAGGAAACGGAAACGGCCACATATGCAGATTAACTGCTGCTTACTGTACGGTAGAAAATGATAATATGCACATTGGTGTAATAATCGTATCTTACTGAAAAAACGTCACGGCAACAATTATAGTTCGAGATACTAAATTACTGAGGTATCGGTTTTAAGGTGTTTTTTGGTACAAGCACAAACGGATCCGGAGATTTTGACCGGGAATAGCGTGTAACATGATGCAGGGAGACCATACTTTCAGTTCCGCGGTGCTGTCATCTCTCCCTGCGGGTCGTTGCACATATCATCATTATTACCTGTAACTGACTGCAAGTTCCTTCTGTTCACTTACTAAGCGTTGGATAGTACTTTTTGACGATAAAATTAGTTGACTTTCATCTGATACATAGCATTTCCCGAATCTTAATTTCATGGGTAAAGCATGCAGTTATGACTTAAGTTCTCCTTTTGCTAAACCGCAGCTAAAAGCAAATCCTTTTCCTGGTGCTTTTCGTTGGAAATCCCTAATGTGGGGTGTAACAGTAGCCCGCATTATGCGCATCTACAGGCCGAATCTTCCTTTCTGACTCTACGCTGCATACCGTAAAGATCTGAGAAAGCATTTGATTGACTTTAGTAGAAATGAAAGTAGAAATGACTTTACTTTACTTTAGAGCCAAAACAGAATTTTCCTGTGTATAAGGTTTTTGTGGGTGCATATCTGATGATTATCAAAGCAGTTGCATCAACAATCCAAAGAGACTCATATAATTAAAATCCATTTTAGGAGCTTAAGTTCATACACATTATTGTATGGATTTATTACATAGTTTTCATGTTAATCCTTAATACCACAAACCTCTCCAGAACAAATGGTGTGATAATGGTTGTGTGGGTGAGATAGATTATTAATATATACACTAATTTTATACTGATACTGAAAGTCATAAAGCTTTAATACAATGGAACAGAAAACAATATCTGTGTTTAAGTGGAAATATTGACCTTTATTGAATGTGAGTTAAGGTTTATAATAGAGAAATTGTATCGGAGGTGCACAATACTACTTTGGTCGCTCTTTGACTGTTTTACAGTAAACCACACATTTACCCTATGTTCCTTAAACATATCTAGTATAAGGACAAGTCAAGAAATGTGGAGAAGATACATCTGATTTCCTAGTACTTTATTACACTTTACTGTATTTTAGATGTCTTTTGGTTTGGAATCACATCCAATTACAAGTGCTCTAGAGGAGAGAAAAAAAATATGAAAAATAACGGTAAAAAGTCACACTTGTACACCAAAAAAACTAATACAGCCCATGAAAACAGCCACCCACAGTGCCACCGTGTGTCAGTGGGTATGCAGTTACCATATGGGAATCTTTATAAATGATACTAATAAATAATATGCATATGTCTTTTGTTCTTACTGATAATACATAAATATACAAACAAGCATCATACATATAAATAAATAAAATCTGTATTTAAATAAAGTGCATTAATTTTTTAATCTCTAAAATTAAACTATGACGATAAGGATAATATTTTCTCATGGACACATATCTGACTCTACCACAATACTTTATCCAAGCAAAAAAATCCTAAAATATGTTTGCAAATTAGAAACACACACTGACAAGTATGTACTACAGGTTAAGTGGGCATTTTTTGTCTCCACACAACCAACGGTTCACTGACTGTACTACTCTGCAACAACCATTGCATAAATACATACACATACACACCCATGCTCACGCACAAACACACGCACACACATATATAAGAATATGATACATACAGAAAAGGTGTGGCATTACAAGAAAGCAACCCAAAATATATAACCCACTTTTTTTCAGAAAGATTAAAGTTGTTCCAAAAATGTCAACACTGAAAACAACTTTGAGATGCATGATCCAGGTTGCATGAAGCATTACCATGCGAAATCTACAAAATGTACAGTTTATGCCAGCTGCTGGCCATATACCAGCAGATCACATTATATTTCACTGCAAGCTGTACCAGTATATCTGCATGTGACCAATAAAATCGTGGATCTTATACCCAGCAAAAGCACCTTCGAATCGCAGCCATAACCTGTGCAACTCTGAACTATTTAAAAACCTTTCAATCTTTTGTAGAAGCAATTTCAAAGATGGCTGACACCTTTACTGACTCACTCAGGTTATTGTCTTTGTGTATGTATGAGATAGATCTGGTTATTTTATTAAATCTTGTCTTGGAGGTATTGAAATAATTGTGTGTGTTCATCACGTTTAAGCTATTGGGCACTTTTTAAAAATAGAACTGAAACTGCACAGAAACAACGAAATACAACAAAATAAAATACTTGAAGAAAAGTTCCTTACTCATGAAATCTGCTAGGGTCTTAAATGTAAATCAACCAAAAGTCCCTATCCTTTAAGGCTTAAATAAATACAATGTATTTAATCTCATATTCTTACATATAAACACACACGCAGACATACACATATAACCTCACACATGAATGCACAGGAATTATACATAAATACAAAGTGTAATTCTTTTGTATGACAGAAAGAACATAATACTACAGAATACAAGGGTTACTATTTAATAACAGCATAAAAGATGAGTACAAAATGTCCTTATAATGCTACATTAAGGTGCTGCTATGAAATGCTAAGTTAAATTGAAAAACCTTTTGTAACTATGACTCTCAGGCCATGTGATGTAGGCCCGCAACGACGGAATTTAAATCACTAGCAACTCATGTATGTAATTATATTGACCACTAGAGGGTGATGTTTAGTCAAACGAGTCACACAACTCCTGACTTCAGCTGTCTCTGTTAGAGCTCCCATCTGGTTACTTGGCTCAGACTTTTCATATTTCGTTTTACACAAAGTACATCTCTGTATTTGTGTGTGAGAGTAAAAGAGTAAGATATAGAAGGGAAAATCTGGACATATGTCTGATACACAGTGCAAAATCTTTCAGATCTTTATACACCTTTCTATACCAGGTCTGTTTCCTATCTTGCATTGCGTTCTTTGATAGACAAGTTTGGAATCAAAGTCACTCTTGTGGCCACTCACTACCCAGAGAACCAAATCAAACATGGCAGTGACATGACAGGACTTTAACTCTTGTATGGTCCTGGAAGAGTCATTCGTTTGCAGTACTGCAGATGGCTCGCGACACTGCATGGTCACCATTTTTGGTCAGAGGACACCTGACAGAGCCTCTGCGATTGCCTTTCCTCGGACTCCTGTAAACAAACCACTTGGGAAGAAATTGCAAACAGGTGGGTGAGGTAACCCTATGCCACTGACAACCAAAAACCATGAAAAACATTAAGAAGAACAAAACCACAATCAAATAAATGTGGCAAATAAATAATGGAATAAAGCAACAGTAACAATAAATATTTATAATACAGCATCCAAACACAAAAAGTCCTGTACATATTTCTGCATTTCATTCTTCTGCATATTTTACTGCTCTCTAGTTCCCTGTCTTTCACTAACTGTGAAACAAGGAGCTCTGAAAATGACCTTTGTAAAAGATCAACTATGACACAAAGTTCTCATTTTGAACCCTGGACCTGATCTTACTTGCAGATAGTTTTCAGATCAGGGTGTGTAAATAGTTCAGTTGACTCTGAATTGCAGTTCTGAGTTGACAGGCTCCGAAGTGTTCCACAGCAGAAAGGCTTTACAGGGGAAAATTAGAAGACCATGCATTTCAAATATGTGGCGTAGTGTGGTTCTTTAAAATAGTTTTCTCTGTAAAACTCATAACAGCCATACAACTTAACTTGGTGTTTTGTCATTATTTCGGTCAGTACCTCTCTTGATCATGTGTGACATTTCTCTGTCATCCGAATACTTAACCCAAGCTTTTGACAAACCGATAACTTCAGGATTGAGTGGTTATATTTGGTGTTCACAGTATTCAGGATTCTTAGTTCAGTAAAGCATTGTCTTCAGTTTTACACAGACCGATTATATGTAACATGCATTTTATCAATAACAGGTTGAGAGAGACCCATGAAGCAACAACATGTATGTACATGTATGAAAACAGCTGCTGAAGCACCTTAACAGTGATTGTGTTTGTTTATTTTGGTCTATTCTAATTCAGATACACCTCCTGGGCATTTTTCATGCCTTCCACTAAATAACTCCAACATTCCTGAACGTTCTTTGTAGTTCCTGAAATCATACACCATTTCCAAACTTTGACTGGCATCTACGCATTCCTGCCCCCAACCTGAAGATCATGACTGATGCTTGCCCGATTTCTCTCCTCTCTCCCGCGGGGCGGTGCTGGCTGCACTCGGGCCCGCTGCGCGAAGCACTGATCGACCTCCAGGAGAAGCCTCAGACTTTCCAGCTGAGCTGCCCTTGCTCTCCTCTGCTGCACTGAAACTGTGTTTCCCCTTGAGGACCTCCTGAGAACCCATCTTGATAGGCCCCAGGACGGTTTTGGCCACACTGCTAAGATGTGTGACGAAACTAGACTTTTCAGCGGGAGAAATGGGCCGAGATCTGGAACTAGGTGAGGCAGCGGTAGGGGACTGGGTAGGAGTAGATGGATGTTCTTCCACCACCTCCAGGGGACCCTTCTCCTCCCACCCCAAAGCCCCTCGATAACAGTTCACCGGAGCCAAACCTTTGCCCTGTCTGGGTTTAGTCATCAATGAAGTTCGAGATGATGCTGGGGCTTGAGATGGCAATGAAGCTAAAGAAGGGAAAAATGAAGTCCCTGAAGTTGAGGAGGAAGCTGAAGCCATCGGTCGGACTGCAGCCAGCGACGTCCCTGGGGTTGCTGACTGGCGTACAGCTGTTGTTGAACTTGGACCTGGTGGCTTGTCCACCACAAGTGGCTGGCCTACAACTGATGATGACCCTGGAGCCTGTGGCTTCCCTACAGCTGAGGCTGAACCCAGAATCTGTGAAGTGGTGGGAGGAGCTGAGCCTGTTCTGTGTGATGTTCCTAGAACCAGTGATGAGCTTACAACCTGTGTTGCTCCAGGAGCTAATGATAAACTTGTAGTCTGTGGTGATCCTGAAAAAGTCTGTGATGATCCACGTGCAGGAGATAGGCCTGTGGCTTTGGATGGTCCTGAAGAAGACTGTGGAAATCCACGTGCAGGTGATGAGCTTGGGGTCTGTGATGATCCTGAAGTTGATGAGCCTGCAGTCTGTGATGATCTTGAGGCAGTTTGTGATGATACACGTACAGGTGATAAGCCTGCGAATTGTGATAGTCCTGCTGCTGCTGATAAGCCTGTAATCTGTGATGATCCACGTGCAGGTAAAAAGCTTGGAAACTGTGATGGTCCTGGAGCTGATGATGAGCCTGCAGTCTGTGATGATCCTGCAGCTGATGATGAGCCTGCAGACTGTGATGATCCTGCAGTTGATGATGAGCCTGCAGTCTGTGATGATCCTGCAGTTGATGATGAGCCTGCAGTCTGGGATGACCCTGCAGTTGATGATGAGCCTGCAGTGTGTGATGATCCTGGAACTGATAATGATCCTGCAGTCTGTGGTGATCCTGCAGTTGATAATGATCCTGCAGTCTGTGATGATCCTGCAGTTGATGATGGTCCTGCAGTCTGTGATGATCCTGCAGTTGATGATGAGACTGCAGTCTGTGATGACCCTGCAGTTGATGATGGTGCTGCAGCCTGTGGTGGTCCTGGAACTGATAATGATCCTGTAGTTTGTGATAATCCTGTAGTTGATGCTGAGCCTGCAGTCTGTGATGACCCTGCAGTTGATGATGAGCCTGCAGTCTGTGATGATCCTGCAGTTGACAATGAGCCAGCAGTCTGTGATGGTCCTGGAGCTGATAATGATCCTGCAGTCTGTGATGATCCTGCAGTTGACGATGAGCCTGCAGTCTGTGATGATCCTGCAGTTGATNGTCTGTGATGATCCTGCAGTTGACGATGAGCCTGCAGTCTGTGATGATCCTGCAGTTGATGATGAGCCTGCAGTCTGTGATGATCCTGCAGTTGACGATGAACCTGCAGTCTGTGATGATCCTGCAGTTGACGATGAGCCGGCAGTCTGTGATGGTCCTGAAGTTGTCGATGAGCCTGCAGTCTGTGATGATCCCAAAACCAATGATTGGCATTGAGATAAACCTTCAAGGCCCTTCTCTCTTGTTTCAGGAGGTTTATCGGTTCCGCTAAGTTGCTCTAGTTTAATGCTGTCTTCAGTTTCTGTTGTTTTGCACAGCTTGGTCATTTCTGTGACCATTGCTGTATCCTTCTGTAGTCCCAGACTGCTCTTTTCTTCTCGTTCCCCCTTTAGACACATCAGTTTCCTGTCACACCCTTGCAGTGAGATTTTTTGCCCATCTTTATCCTGGGCTTTTTGAGTGCAGCTTTTCTCTGTCTGGGGGGCCTGCTGTTTGGCACCTCGGTCAGCCAGGCTCTGGGCCTCTCCCAGTGCCAGAAGCTTTTCTGGTGCCTTTGCCTCATAACTTGAACTCAGTAGATCCACTGTGGGCGCCTTTATAGCAGGAGATGTGCCAGTTGGGGTGGACTTTTGCGGCAGCGATGAGGCAGATGAGGGTTGGGTTTCCTCCGTCACTGCTGCTGCTGCTGCAGGTTTCGGTCTGGCGATGTCACTCGACGGAAGTTTAGGAGCTGCCAGCGGCTCCTCGGGCGCCTCGGTTTTAGTTGGCGATTTCTCATGAAGCACCCCCAGCCCCCCGCTGCTCCCCTCTCCGGCTTCCGAGTGCTTCTCCCTACAGGCCAACAGAGCATCCCGGCTGAGGGGAGACTCCTGCCTCCCCAGCTTCCTCACCGGCTTAAGGGTTCCAGTCTCACCAGCAGTAGGTGAGGAGCAGGTGTGGGGCGGGAGGTTCTCCCCCTCAGTCTCCAGCAGGCTCTGCAGGCCCAGCTCACTGTGGAAAGGCTCCTTGCGGTAGTCCGGGTGGGATACTTCTAGACTGTGCTTCCGGATCATGCCACTGCCGGCCCCGCCGCCCACCTTCTTGTCCTGTGTGGAGGTGAGGGGTGAGCCTAGCTTTTCGGCCGACTGCACGCGCTTCAGTAATGGGGACCGGGGAGGTTCGGCACTTTTGGGCCTCGGTCGCACCACGGGCGGCGAGGAGTGCAGCTTCGCGGGGAAGGCCTGTGTGGTGTTGGAGCTGCCGACCGTGTGTCCGGGCAGCGGTGGCGGCGAGGACTGGGTCGGTGAGGGCGTGTGAGCCAGTGGCGACAGTGGGATGTTGCCGGCGGACTTGCAGCGCGCCGAGCGGTACTGCCGGTGCAGTTTGGGGGACAGGCCGTGCAGGGAGCTGGGCCTCATGTGCTGGGACGCCGCTGGTGAGTTGGGAGTGCTGGAGGCTGGGGAGCTACTCTGGGATGAGGCCCCTGTTAGAGATAAAACGAAAAACAATTTTCTATGTAAACTGTTGCACTTGCACAGTTTGACCAGTATTCCAGTGAGAAGTATGTGCCTATTAATAGATCAAAAGCAAATCTGAACAATGATGACATCATAAACACACTACAAAGAAAATATGATCCAAGACAGTGTGTTCATTACAATGGATACATTCACTCTTTGGAAACCAATGAGTGACTCTGCTGAAGACCACAGTGCGGGACACTCGGGACATGATGCTTTTGCCACGGCAGCTCTCACCAAGGTGAGAAGAGTCGGGGGTGGAGCGATAGCTTTGGGTCGGGGAGCGGGCGGAGAGACTGTGGGTGGGTGAGCCGGGGAGGCTCTCACTAGACGACAGCGAGCGGTTGAGGGAGGTCAGGCTGCGGCTGGTGTGCAGCAGGTTGGCCTGCTTGGTGATTTTCCGGAACAGGGAACTTCGTTTCTTGCTGACAGGGCAAAAAGGGAGACAGGGACAGGGAGTGAGGTAGATACATCTAGACCACTGTCAGGAACACTGCCTGAGGACCGAGACAGGCCTGGAGAGCATGACAAGGTGACGCTGTACATATCTATATCTATAAATAAAGTTCTGTTGGGAGTCAGAGATATGACTGTGTTCCATCTCTGATAATAAAGACTATTCTGAGTAATTCAGCAGTACCTCTCTTGCCCTTCCTTGCCAACAGTCCTCTTGTTGCGACGAGCCATCTTGGACTTGTAGCTGGACTTGCGTGCCGGGCCGACTTTGATGGAGGTGTTCTCAAAGGGTGTGGTGGTCACTGTCACCTTTGTCCCACTCTACACATAACAGGACAGCATCCAGCGATGTTTACGAAAGCAAAACACAAGCGGCGTTTACATTAAGCTAGTCAGCACAGGTTCCCAAATGCCTGGCAACCGTTCATGCCTGTGGATGGACACTACATTTTACTGAAATCACTTTTGCAGTGATGATTAGTCACCCTGCGTTCTCACCTTCAATATGAGTTCTACTACTTCTGTATGGACCAATCCGTGGACAGGCTCCCCGTTCACATGGGTTATGAGGTCACCGGCACACAGCCCAGCTTCGTGGGCGGGGCCTCCCTCTTCCACGTGCTGAGGTTGGGATAGAGGGTTGTTTCAGTTGATGGTACCAGAACACCAACACATTTTACAGGTTCTCTGGGAAGCATCTAGCTCTAAATATGGAGGAAATTTTCCTAACGGTCATCTTGAATGTTGGGTTCCCCAGAAAAGGCTCTTGGCGCACCCTTACCCAGACAATGTGGTGCACGCTGTAGACATCGCTGTCACCCATGTAGACGCGGATGGCGCGTAGGGTGAAGCCGTACTTCTTGCCAGAACGGTGGATGGTGATTGGTGAGCGCAACATGCTGACCGCGGGGGAGTAGTCGCGGCTGGGGGAGGAGTCTCGTGAGGAGGGGTTAGAGGAAAGTGAGCGGGGTGACATAGGGCTGGCGAGCGGGGAGCTCACATGCTGCTCCACTGTGGGGAAAGCAAGAAAGAGAAAGAAAGAAATAAAAGCTGAATTACCACCCACTTTAAGATGCAGTAGAACCTTGAATGCCCCTTAACTCGACCAACTCAGATGTTGAATGGGTCTGTCGATTTTTTTTCCAACTTGTACCTTGACCAAAATCTTGACCGTTCCTGCTAAAACTTGTATGGGTCGAGATGCATTCATCTCTACTAATGTGGACCTCGAACGGGTCAGTCAAGAAAAATCTAGCTGCAACTCAACGGAAAACCTGGAACTCCATAAAACAAAACAAAGCTGCTAAAACTTGTATGGACTGAGACACTTCTCCCCTTCCAAACAATAACCCCTCCATCCTTCCTCCTCTCCACCTGCCACTTCCAGTTTCAGCTCACCTCAATACAGGTAAAGTGCTCATAATTTGTCATTTATTTCACGTTTATCGCTTTTGTATGTATGTTTTTTCATATGTGTATTAGTTTTATATTGATTGTTAATGCCATTTATCATTAGTTAGGTAGGTAGATAGGTTTAAATAGGCAATCATTTGGGGGGTTGGAACAGATTAAACTCACATACATTATTTCTCATGGGGAAATTCGACTTTGATCTTGACCAAATTGCAACTCGACAGGCCTTCTGGAACAAATTAAGTTTGTGTTGCAAGGAACCACTGTACTTTCAACCACAATGACACACTCAATGTGCAATAATGATCTTATTCTTCCTCATTAGCACCCTCTTGTGGTCAGTCATAGTACCTGCAGGGATGATGACAGACAGAGCGGTGGCCGAGGCTGACTTTATGACCTTGGTCCCAGGTCTGGAGCTGCGCTTCTCCCCCTCGGTGGACAGCTGTTGGTGCCGTACCCGGCGCAGAACCAGGTCATTGGTGGCCCGGGGCCCGTGAGCGTCCACAGTCTCTGCCTCTTTGATGACACCCACAGCACCAGCAACGGGGGGAGTGGGAGTTTCTGCAACCATCTCGCTGGGCTTTGCTGGTTTTTCTGGAAAATAAGATTTCAGGATGTTGACGCATGTAATCGGTTCAAAACAGTGAAGCTGAACAAAGTTAGAAAAAGTAAGAATAATATACTTGAGGAAACCCAGCGATTAAGGGGGGGGGGGGCGGCTGAGCAAATACTGGTTAATAAAATGGCTAAATATCCAACTGTAAAGCAGAAAAAGTATACAGCAGGTAAGCTGCTCTCGATAAAAACACATGCACTCATCCATATATCTTCATAACTGCATATCCAGCAGAGAGCTGCACTGAGTCAAAAGCCTGGGTGTGTGTCTGTATCCACCTCAAAAGATGTCCCCAAAAGTAGGGAAATTTCAGGTTTTACTACACTTTGGGGACAATTTGGTCCTCAAATGTGATTTATGCAAACCCACACGCACACACACACAAACACACACACCCACACAGACATGCACATATACAGACATGCACACGCACACACGGACATGCACACGCACACATACAGACATGCACACGCACACACGGACATGCACATGCACACACACACACACACGGACATGCACACACACACAGGGACATGCACACACACACACACACACGGACATGCACACGGACACGCACACACACACGGACATGCACACGCACACACACGGACATGCACACGCACACATACAGACATGCACACACACACACACACACCCAGGATGGGAATCGAACCCATAACCCTGGAAGACTGACGCCACAGTTTTGCCTACAAAGTATGTGATTTAATATAATGATATTTACAAGCCAGCAAAAGTATATTATCTGTCCACAATGATTATTATTCTCCTTCTGAAATATGAGTAACACATTCTTATTCGCTGCAGGACCCTTTGTTAATTCTCTTTATAGTGTGTGGACATAAAAACTTATTTTGATCTCCTGCCTTACAGGCATGGGATGGTAACTTTACCTGCTAATTAGCTGCTGCACACTGAGCCTTCAAATGCGGCCTTTGAGGAGTGGGTTTTTGTTCATTAGGGAAATCTAAAGTGTTGCCTGTCCTAAATGATCTGGCTGCTCCACCAAATCAGCTGATCTCCTGAGCTTCATGGTCGGTATTAAAGATAAGGTGCTAGATCCCGGCCGGTTCTGATTACGAACGATTAAACACTGACTTTTTTAAAGCAGCAAGCCTGTCATTCTGAATGGGAAATTAAACTACCAAATCACCGTAATAATTATTAGACCTGAATAGATTAAACATCCCATAATTTGCCTCAAGCAATGTCTTATCTATGGTCTTCCAGGCAATAAAAGACAGAGCGATTTTTATAATTTATTCTTGATAAAAGGCTTTAACACCAAACTATGAAAAAAACCACAGTTCGGGTCATATTAATTTATGGAAAAGGATGAAGCATCGCTAAGCCTGTCAATTGTGCCAAGCAACAGATAAGACCTGCTTTACTCTGCAGGTTAGAAGGGGTAAATACTAGTACCTACTACACTGTTGCACCCTTGAGAGAGGTACTTAACCTGAACTGTTCTGGTAAATATCGGGTTGTGACCCAAGCGCCTGCTGAGTGACAGAAATAACTGAAACAGCAGAGTGCCGATTTTCTCGCCTTTGGGCAAAACTGTGGCCACTTCCACAGGGAGCCAATCAGTCACCCTGCAAACAGCCCCTCGGCCAATCAGTCACCCTGCAAACAGCCCCTCAGCTAGTCTATTGGCTGAAGAAACGCCCGCGTCTGCCGCCACCGCCAACAGGGAAACTCCCAGCATGGAGAGCCCCCAACATTCGGATCCTATGCGGAATTTCTCTAGTGGGCTGAATGCACTTATTTGATTGCTGAAGCCCCATATAACTGGCATGGGATAATCCAGAATGAACCACGAAATTCAGCGGAAACGTGTTTTCTGCTCACTTCAAACACAATACAGCTGCAGAAGAAAATTAAGAGACTGTTAAAACTATTTTTCGTTTCACTCATTTCTCAATTCTTGCGTGTGTGTCTGTGAATAAATATTTTTGCAAACTGCAGCCTGGCTCTTCCCTGCTTCTCATTAATGAAGGGCTTCTTCCTTGCTTTATGGGACTTCAGTCCTGCTTCTAGGAGCCCGATACACACCGTCCTCACAGTGCGCTTCACACCACTTAATGTTTCCCATTCCTTTTGAAGGTCACTTGTGTTCATCCTCTGATTCATAAATTCATAAGAAACTGTCGGATAAGTTGACGGTCATCTCTGCCATTAGAAAGTCGCTTCTGCCCTTTACCTGACTGGTTTCTGGTCATTCCCAGTGTCTCCTGCTTCACCTTATTTTTGTGTATTGCTCTCTTAGAAATTTTGTACCTGGAAGCAACCTGCTGCTCAGCGTATCCTTCCACCTGCAGAACCATGATTAAACCATGGTTTAAAAATGTAGGTTTTTAAAAAGTAGAGTGGTATTTTAATTCTTTCCATGGCTACACAGCTGGGTTTCAGAAATTCAAACACATTCGAGAGAGAGAGAGAGAGAGAGAGAGAGAAAGGCATTAAATGATTAACTTAAAATCGGTGCCTGTTACCAACAAGTCCCTTATTACATAATCACAGCAGTAGAGGAAATCAGGCTGCAGTAAAGGATAAAAGCAGAATGTCGTGTTTCCCACTGCATGCATCCATGTGTGAGGTCACTTCCTGCATCCGTATGCTTGCTGCTCTGCTTGACCGGATCACGCTCTGCTGCGTGCTGCTGTCATTGTGCTTCAGTGCGACCTCCTCAGTCTGTCACACAAACGTGTGTCCCACTGCCATGTCGTTTGCACAGAGGTGTGCATTACATATAACATCTGTGTTTCACATGCTCCTTTTAGACCGTCTCAATCCTTTCTCTGCTCTTCCATCTTTCTCTCATCTGTTCGAGTTGCTGGCTGCCTCTCCCTGCCCTTCTCTCTCTCATTCAATTTCTCTCTCTCTCTCTCTCTCTCTCTCTCTCATTCTCTCCCCCAAGCTTTTCCCTCACTTACAGCTTCTCTTTCTGTTTGTCTCTATCCTTCTCTTTTTGACTTTCTCTCTCTCCCTCAAGCCTCTCCCTCTTGCTCTCTGTCTCTCTCATTCTCTCCCTCCCTCCCTGTCTCTCTCTCTTTCACGGGGAGCTGTGTTCAGGCTTGACGAATAATGAATTCATTATCAGTGTAATACGGCGCGCCCTGCAGGTCTTTGGGAGAGAGCGGCACTTCAGCATCCCACCCGTTTCCATGTTGTTCTTTGTCACCTCCCCTCCCTCTCTTTATTCCCGTCTCCCTGCTCCTCCCTTCCAGCCACCCTCACCCTCCCCACACTCCCCACTGTCTGCAGCCTCCCTCACCTCCTGCAGCAGGCTCCGCCCCCTCCTTCAGGGTGTGCTTCGGTTCCACCTGTGCTGGGGGCGGGACCGTCGTCCCCTCCAATGACATTCCCCTGGCTTTGATGGGCGGTTGCCGGGCTGGGATCTCCGAGTCGGCTTCTAAGGGGGACGCAAACCGATGTGTGTCCATCAGGGCGGAGAACCGCCTGCGGGCTCCCAGGGGGGGGCTGGAATCTCCTTCCATGTACAGGGACTCGGAGCAGGATAGGCGCTTCCTACGGACCAGAGATGCATCCAAACTCCATTACACCCCATCAACACGCTTAGCGTAGCTCCAGACTTACTACTGATGCTGCCTGTTGCCCAGGATTTTATTCATTTACAGTGACAGCAAATCACCCCGCAGCAATCAGAGTCTTTGTCCACTGCCACATCAAATCCCACTGCTTCAGAAATCACATCTGATCTGATCTGGTGTTTGTACTCCAGGCCAATGGTAATAAACGTTATGACAACTGCAGCTCAGCCAAAAGTGTTCCAGCTTTTAGGTCCAGGAGGGCCAGCTACTGAAACCTTGAGCGAGGCGTAAAGTAAGCTAGCTACTGTACCCTTGAGCGAGGCGTACCATAAGCTAGCTACTGTACCCTTGAGTGAGGTGTACCATAAGCTAGCTACTGTACCCTTGAGCGAGGCGTACCATAAGCTAGCTCCTGTACCCTTGAGCTAGGTGCACCATAAGCTAGCTACTGTACCCTTGAGCGAGGTGCACCATAAGCTAGCTACTGTACCCTTGAGCGAGGTGTACCGTAAGCTAGCTACTGTACCCTTGAGCGAGGCGTACCGTAAGCTAGCTCCTGTACCCTTGAGCGAGGCGTACCGTAAGCTAGCTACTGTACNCTGTACCCTTGAGCGAGGCGTACCGTAAGCTAGCTACTGTACCCTTGAGCGAGGTGTACCGTAAGCTAGCTCCTGTACCCTTGAGCGAGGCGTACCGTAAGCTAGCTACTGTACCCTTGAGTGAGGTGTACCGTAAGCTAGCTACTGTACCCTTGAGTGAGGCGTACCGTAAGCTAGCTCCTGTACCCTTGAGTGAGGTGTACCGTAAGCTAGCTACTGAACCCTTGAGCGAGGTGTACCATAAGCTAGCTACTGTACCCTTAAGTGAGGTGTACCATAAGCTAGCTACTGTACCCTTGAGCGAGGCGTACCATAAGCTAGCTCCTGTACCCTTGAGCTAGGTGCACCGTAAGCTAGCTACTGTACCCTTGAGCGAGGCGTACCGTAAGCTAGCTACTGTACCCTTGAGCTAGGTGCACCGTAAGCTAGCTACTGAACCCTTGAGCGAGGCGTACCATAAGCTAGCTCCTGTACCCTTGAGCTAGGTGGACCGTAAGCTAGCTACTGTACCCTTGAGCGAGGTGGACCTTAAACTAGCTACTGAACCCTTGAGTGAGGTGTACCGTAAGCTAGCTACAGTTCAGGGTAGGGACAGGTGTCCCCCAGGCCCCAACTCACATCTCCGGGGAGCCCGTCCGCCAGCTCTTGTCCCGCATGGTGAGGCTACCCATGCTCTCCCTCTTGATGACTTTGTCCTCCTTGGGGCCCTTGTGTTCCCTCCTTGTGACAGTGGTCGGCTTCTGCTCCAGTTGTGACAGTTGCTCCATGCTGCTGTACACCTGCAATCCCCCCCAATCAAAACAAGGACAGTCATGAACCTCTAAGAACCAGTACAAAGTGGGTTTATAAGAATGCTGGTGGAGACGGTATCACGTCTGAAGCGGCCCTGCACACAGCTGACAGGAGCAAACCACGCACTCACACCAAACCGTCTCTGATAAGACTACAGAGAGAAATACACTGTGGTACTTGGGGAGGTACTGCAGATTGGGGTTAGTGTTTACTCTGGCGGGAATCCTGACCTGGATTTCAAAGGGGACCCTCCATAGTTGTTCAGGAATGGATAGCAGTCACATAAAAAGAGCAGAAATATATGCCTGACAATGCTTTCGACTGCCAGGTCCGTGTTAGATCTCACCCCTGGCTGCTCTTCATGCTGATTACCAGCCTTTTTCTTGCCTTTGAAGTGCGTGTGTTATTCATGGCAGGCGTCTGGGGAGTGTTTGTGTGTGTCTGTGTGTGTGTGAGTCCAAGTAACACACATTTTCTTGTTTTTCTAAGTAGCTGGGGCTTTTGAAAAATGCCAGGAATCCGACTCTCCGTGCACCCTCATGATTCACACCTTGAGAGGGGAGGGGTTAAAGGCATAGATACAGAAAGTGAGAGGGTGTGAGAGGGTGCAGAGTGTGAGGATGTGAGGGCATGGGGAAGAGTTAGGCGATGAAACGGGGCGTCAGAGAGCATGAGAAACACAGCGACAGAACGAGGAAGGACACAAGAGACAATGATAGGATGCTGGAGGTTGTGAGAGGGGGAATGACAGAACGGGAGGTAGTTAGAATGGCATCAAAGAGGACATGAGAAAGCGAGAGGACAGTAGAGGGCGTCAGAGAGGCTGTGAGAAAGCGAGAGGACAGTAGAGGGCGTCAGAGAGGCTGTGAGAAAGCGAGAGGACAGTAGAGGGCGTCAGAGAGGCTGTGAGAAAGCTAGAGGACATCAGCGAGGGTGTAAGAGTGTATGTGAGAATGCTAGAGGGCAGCAAAGAGGATGTAAAACAGCAGGAGGAGACTAGTGGGCATCAGATAGGGAATGAAAGAAGGGGCAACCTTGCTGAAGCGTGGCGAGCAGGAGGAAAACTGCCGTATCTCCACAGGTTCGTCGTCGTCGTTCGTGTCGTCCTCGTCATAGGAGTTGATGTGGTGGTAGCGCTCTGAGCGTGCTGAAGGGGGAGGCAGAAGAGAGTGACTGAAAGGTACAGAACAAGCGCGGAGGCACCCGTGCATCTCAGAGCGTCTTAGGTCCCGCAGGTACAAAAGCGTGAAGCGGATCACAGCCGGAGCTCGCTGACTGTTCCGGAAAACACTGCGAGAGCTAAAACGAAGATTTAAAAACAATGCTTAAAAAGCGATAACTAAGATTCTCTTCACATTTACATAAATCGCTGCCTTATTCCTTGACATTTATGCATTTTGTTTCTTATCAATTTGTTGTATTATATATTTTATTATTGTTACTATAATTAACACAAAGGCGGCATTTACTGCTGTGAGGAAAGTAAGCTTGTCAGTCATGTTAATTACCGACACCTGCAGTTAGATACCACTGTCTCATCATGTCAATTACAGTGTAATTTGTATGCAAATTATCTGGATAAGACACCCTGCCAGTCCGTAGGTCAGCTGCCCCGCAAGCTGCCACTCACTGTCGAAGTAGCTGGTGTCCTCCTCGGACTCCAGGTTGGGGATGAACTCAGCCTTCTGCCTCAGCAGGCTGTTCCAGTCCAGCTCAGAGAAGAAGGCATGCTGCTTCACTTCATGGGCGCCCCCTAGTGGAAGGGAGGGACACAGTCATTCGATTAGCCCAGAGCTAATTATCCCAGCGCAGCAGCCCCATGCCCAGACCATGCCCCCCCATGTGACTGTGCTTTCCTGTGCCCAGAATGCCCACCACTCCACCACACCCCCACCCAGCACACGACGTACCGTGCTTTTGGTACTTCAAGGTGTTGCTTTTCCACGGGCCTAAAAACTGGGCCCTGCGTGAGGCAGCATATTTTGTACTGAATTCCAAAAATGGATTAAGATCAGGTTTTTCTTATCTGCTATGGATATTATAGTGCAGGGAGTTTAAGTCTCGCTAAGACATTTTTACTCTGTCATAGGAAAAAAACTGAGCAAGTTTTGCAATTTTAAGGATTATTCCTTTTCACGATTATCTAGTATATGTTTAAACATCAGTTTAAAGTTTACCTCCGCTGATTTTGCATGAGCGCTGCATGCATTCTTTGAGACAATAATTTTCATCCTTGCTGTTACGAAATCACATTGCAATATTTGAAAGATTTCCAATACCGTGCCGTTATAGTATATTATACAAAATACTTTATTTCTTGTTATACTATCCTGATCTTGTTGTATCTGTTTTTCTGACCAGATCACAATTAATGCTTGTGTCACTTCATTTGTCCACATTATAATTCATTTTATTATTTTTTTTACGTCTGTGATATAATAGGTCAATCGGAAAAAGCCCAGTACCAACAAGCTGATAGGCGCCATATCGCCACCTATTGTCGCGGAGTCAAACATACTTCGGTCAATAAATCAATCCCCCCCCCGCACATGTATACTAGGACAAGGACAGCAGTCTGTTTAAATGACGTAGTCAAGCTATAACTGTAGCTCGACTTAGCTGTGTATGTAAACATACTGCCTGTGCTTACCTGTGCCCAGACCGCCCCCTCATGCTTACTTAGAACAGAATAATGATACTTTATTAATCCCTTTGGGCAACCAGGGAGCTGGGGGTTAAGGGCCTTGCTCAAGGTCACACAGACTTGTAAGTTACCTTCTGATCACAGGGACACCACCCAGATTGCCCCCACCTCTCTTACCTGTGCCCAGACCCCCCCCCACATTGCTTACCTGTGCACAGACGCAGCAGGGGGTTGGTCTGCAGCAGACTGGAGATCAGGCTCTGGGCGTCTACAGGGAGCGCTTCATCACCCTCTGGCCAGACAATATCATCTACACACCGAGACACACAAGGGTAGCATCATCCACCATCCATTCATACTCCAGCCTGGAGCCCATCCCAGGAAGAGCAGGGCATTAGACCGGGAACGCCCAGGATGGAAGGCCAGCCCATTGCAGGGAAAATTATTAGAGTTGCCATCATTATTCAAGGATTCAAAGGGCTTCACTTGTCACAAGCAAGGTGTACAATCAGTCTATAACATGCAGTGAAATTCAAGATGGTCAACTCCACCATAATAAACAATGAAAGCAAAAAAATACAGAAAAGAAACAATACAACAAAGTTGCTTATCTAAACAGTAAATATATTTTACCCAATCAGAGCAGTTGAAGACCCCGATGAGCCACGGCTGCAGTATTATGGACACGCCTGGGGTCACATGTGGCCTCATAATTGTCCTGCTGCGGCATTACAGCTCACCTGTGATGACCTGTCCAAAGAGCTCCTCAGGCGTGTCGCCGAAGAAGGGCACGCAGCCCACCAGGAACTCGTACAGGATGATGCCCATGGCCCACCAGTCCACGGGTTTGCCGTAGCCCTGCCGCAGGATCACCTCGGGGGCAATGTACTCCGGGGTGCCGCACACCTGTGTCCGAGGGCCAAGGAGAGAGCAGCCCCAGGGGTCATTCTACAGCGTCAACATCGGGGTCATTGGAGACACACAAGTCCTGCCAGATAGCGTCTCGAGATGTTGGCAGGACTCTCAAGTCTCCCGCATTGACCATGAGACACATGGATTTCAACCAGTTCACACGCTCACACGCCAAACCTTGTGTTTCTCACGCTGAGAAGTAAGGGATAACGTCCGCCATGCTGTCCTGTTATATAGAGTTGATGGACAAGACACAGGCATACGGAGTGGAGTTCTCCGGCAAGTTCATAGCTGTCCTGAGTTATACAGAGTTAATAGCCACCAACCAATCAGAACATAGCATTTGTTGTTTCCGGGTAAATTCCAAAATAAGTTTACTTGTGATCCCGCTGCAAGCACGTTATTACACGGATATGCACACATGGAGTGCAGACAAGGTGGGAGTTGGCAGGGATCTCAAGTCTCACGCACTGACTGTGAGACACATGCTCCACCCCTAACAGATGCTTACAGATGTAATCTCACTCCGAATTTTTGGTGAAACCTGAGAGCCCTGTGTGGGTGTTTTTTATAATTCAGCTCACCATCCATGTTCTGACAGGACAACAGGATTACAGAGCGAGCAACAAGTCGATCGCTACGGTTCGGACATCGGCACAGCAGAACTCTGTCACAAGGCCCCAGGAACTTAGCAGGAAAGAAGCTTTCGTTTGTTTCCACGCACAGATGCAATTTCATCACACACAGATGCCGGCCGCTTGGGTGGGAGGTTCGAGGTGGGAGCTCGCCAAGAATCAATTTAATTGAAAGCGTAAAGAAAAAAGTAATAAAAGTGACACAAAAAAGCATTCAGACAGAGACGTCTGTGGTTGGTTGAGCATGTTGTGAACTGGGATGTTTCATTCTGGCATAATTTACTGATGAATGTTTTATAATCCCATTACGCCCTTAACTCCGCTAAACTCCACCAAGTTTGCTAACTCTGCTAAACGCAGCTAACTCTGCTAATCTCTTCTAGGCCATACAAACACCAGCTGCAATATAAGGTTAAAGCACATAGATCATACCATTTGAAGACAGAGAGGGTGTCTCCGGTGACAGAAAATACAACAGCCTTCTCTTACCTTCCTTGGATTGATTTGTTGTCCTTGCCCAAGTTAGCATTCAGCAAACTAGCATCATAAATATGTTCAGCATACTTACAGAAATACCAAACAAAACTAGAACAAATACTGATCCAAAATGAGTCTGCAAATGTATCTGCCATGGCTAGAATTGGACCGGGTCTGATTAATAGAGAGCCCAGAGGGAAACCGAACCAACCAGAACCAAGTATAAGAATCCAACCTATTTTTTTTTTGCTGGGTCATTTGCACTCCTGAAATTTAAGCTAAGTTATACCTGCTTGTCCAGGAATTCACGGGCATCCTTCTCAATGTGACCCTCATATAGGTTTGTGGTCAGGCTCATCAGACCCATTTTTGACAGGCCGAAGTCAGTCAGCTTGATGTGTCCCATGGAAGTGATCAACAGGCTGGGAAAAAGAGTGAAGAGACCTTGAATATCTGACTCCCAAAGTCCACACACTAACATGTTAAAGGTAGTACTCCTGTCCACTAGGAGGAGCCTTACTTGTCAGGCTTGAGGTCACGGTGAACAATCCCATAGTTATGCAAATACTCCAGGGCCAGGACCGTCTCAGCGAAGTACATGCGGGCCATCTCTACAGGCAGGGCCCCGATGTTCTTAAGGAGGGTAGCACAGTCTCCTCCTGGAGGCATGTGAGGGCATAGCATTTCATTTCTGCAGTAGAATTTGCAGCAGTGATGGCCAAAGCTTCATGAACCACTTGCTGTATTTTTTGACCCCACTAGATGGTGCTCTCTGTTCAAAAAACAGCTCAAAGAATGCTCCAAAGCAAGCCAAGAGCGCCATCTACTGGGTATAAATATACAGCAAATGGTTCATGAAGCTTCCATCACTAGTTTGCAGATCAACATTAAGCCCAGGTTAGACAATCACATTATTTGTGGAGTCGGACGCCACTGGAACTCACCTTCCACGTACTCCATGACCATGCAGAGGTGCCGGCGAGTCTCGAAGGAGCAGAACATGCTGACTACGAAGGGGTTCTCGGCAAAGGTCAGAATGTCCCGCTCCACGAAGGCCTGCTGGATCTGGTTCCTCAGGATCAGGTTCTGCTTGTTGATCTTCTTCATGGCAAAACGCTGACGTGTCTCCCTGTGCCTCACCAAGTACACCGCCCTGTGTGTATGGGGGGGGGGGGGGCGGGGGTGGATATCAAGTTCACAATCACCCGCTACATCCACAGTGGTAACAGCGATGATCTACTACCATCACGATGGCTCAATTCCAAACCAATCCCTCCTCACTAGCCCTTCATTAAGGAGTGTCACTCTGTGTGAAATCATATTCAGCACTGTGGAGGGGTCCCCAGATTAAGGGTTAGGGTATAAAGAGGCAGGCAAACTTCGAGATGCATCTGGCCCTGCTGTAAGCTCAGCCCAGGCCTGTGCTCACCCATATGCCCCGTTACTGATCAGCTTGATAGTCTGGAAGTCAGCTTCGGTGGGTGGTTTCTTGGCTCGCAGTTTGCCCTTGAGAGACAAATAGATACAGCACAACCACCTGAGCGGAAGGAAGGCTGGCACCCTGAACGTGACATGTTCTCACTAACTCCCAGCCTGTCTAGACGCATGGATATCAACATTCAAATTCCTACTCAAAATATTAAGGAAAGTATTTTATATATACATAGAGCTTTATCTCTGTTTTGTATGAAAATGAACAGACTCAGCTACTGTAATTAAACAAGGTCACAATTCAGGCCTGGGGGGTTGTGTTGCACCACAACTTACCTCCGCAGAGTCATCTGTCTCTGGGGTGTGGGGTCCTTCGCTGTCGTAGCTGTCAAGGTTCACCATTTCTGAAAGGAACACACGAGGAATGCTGCAAGCCACCATTTTGTGAAAGTACATAAGGCACGACAAAGTGAGCACCTCGCACAAGCACTGGGTGCATCTCGGCATTTAGCCCAATCCGAGCACCATCTGGAAGCCCCATTCCAGCTTAACCAGTAACTGCATCCTAGACTTATGTGGAAATCCTGTTCCATTTGTTCCTATGAAAAGCTGCATGTGCAGCCATCCTGAGCTTTCGAGTTTGGTGGGGGGTGGGGAATCAGATGGGACAACCTTGATGGAGACATGCTAATCGAATCAGATACTGAAAGGTGATTGGCTGCACTTTGACTCATTCTCTGCTCTGCAATAGATCCTGCTTTCCGCAGAGCTTCTCCACAATAGGCGACAGAATGTATTTATAGACAAACATCCACCGCTCATGCTTTTCAAGTAGGATGTGTCTGTGTTTTTTTGGTTGGCATCGAGGCGTTTGCATTTCAGGGACGTCCCCATGTGCCGTGTCACACGGCCTGGAGCGCGTCTCCTGGTGCTCTCATTGATCGCCAGTTGCTGCCGGAGCGCACCCCCCATCTCTCAGTGCCATCCGGCCATCGCACCGTCACACAGTTTCATTCGTTCCGGTGTCGTTCCCCCTGCCCGCGTCGCATTTCAGGAGCACCGCTCCTTTCCTGTCAGGTCCTTTCCTGTATTTTTTTCTCCCACCCGTACGATTCTCCTGGAGAAGCGCCGGTGTAAGAATAGATTTCTCCACATTTACTCAAGGGCGAACAATGGAGCGACTGTTTCGCCGCTGTGTTACTCCCTCCCGGGGTCTATTTCAGTACGAGTCGTGCCGCCTGCCTGTCCCTGAACCCTTGCCACATCTTCTAGGCGGGCATGATAAAATGCAGCCTCCTGCTCTTCTCCTTTGTACTTCTTTCTCTCTGTCACCTCTCAGCTTCTTCGCCGCCCCCACCGCCCCCAGGACCCCCCTCCCGCCTCACCCTCCAGCAGGTCCCTGGTGAGGCCCAGCTGGCTGATGATGTAGCGGGGGATGTCCGTCTTCATCAAGTGGCCCTCCTTGGCGTGGTCCTCCGCCGCCTCCAGGAGATGGTAGAACTCCTCCGGGTTGAACTCCTGTGGGGAGGAACCGCCAACAGTGACACACACCCATAAGTCAGGTGTAATACACAGTGTCCCCAAGGTGTCCCCAAGAGGGTACCACACGCTGCAATACACATCATCCACCAGAGGGGGCTCTGGAGTCAAAATATGACGCAAGTAAGAGCCCAAATCCCACAAGGATACTTTCCAAATAAAAGCACCAAATGAGACGCACATTGGCCGAGCGTGGTGAGAAATGCGGACAATGGACTGCTTGCATTTTTGTGTGAGACCTTCAGGAAGGCAAATGGATACATGTGATTTGGGAAGGGGAGCCTGGAACTGGGACTCAGTTGGGGTTTTGGCCTGACTAACAGCAAGGATAACCATTTCGCCTTCATCAGAAACAGGCAGAGACCACAAGGCAGGCAAGGAGGTGCGGGCATGACAGCATGTCACATGACACCGACCTCTTCGGGCATGACAGCATGTCACATGACCGACCTTTTCAGGCATGACAGCACGTCACATGACACCGACCTCTTCGGGCATGACAGCATGTCACATGACACCGACCTCTTCGAGCATGACAGCATGTCACATGACACCGATCTCTTCGGGCGTGACAGTATGTCACATGACTGACCTCTTTGGGCGTGACAGTATGTCTTCTGGACAGTCACCATGACAAAATGAGATAACATCTTTGACTGACTCTCACACGACATGGTCCATTAATGATACACCAAGTACAAATTTTTAGCAGTGTTAATAATATCATACTCAGTAAAACCATCTAGCTTAGCGTTAATAAGGTCATACCAGCTAACCATGTTACCCGCTGCCTGGCTATCAGCCCATCTGACCTCACCATCCAGTCGCCCCGGCAACTGAGCAGCAAGTCATCTCCTGCCGGCTGACAGGAAGGCCGATGCGTCAGCTTTTCAGAGACTCATTCATTTCGGTTTCTCGGCTTCCCATAAAGCTACACATCCGCCTTTTTCAATCTTCCCTTGACAGCGCGCTTTTAATAAAAGGCAACTTCCACATTTCTGTGCTGTGGTCCATCCTTTATGTGTCATACATCATGCGGTATTTATATTGAGTCAATGTGTGGCGCTGTCATGCCTACATCAAGCAGAGGTCCAATCAAGACGTCTGGCTGGTTTCCGTATCACCTCACATCCCTACACTATTTACTCATTATTAAATACCACGGATTAAAAGCACCGGGCTTTTCATTTAACTCCTTTCATTGAGCCACTGTCTTCACAGCCTGTTTTCTGTACGACTCCTGCTCATTACAGCATTTTTTTAGTATTTTCAGCACATTTTGCCTGACTGCCCACTATCACCCTTATCGACTCCTGTGTTTGGACAACAGATTTAGGCCTCGATTTGGATTGGGTTGCCTTTGTTTGTCTTGACTGTTTTTTTTACCCTTTTCCTGTTTGTGAACCGCTATTCTGAAGATAAACTTCTGGCAGGGGCTTATACTGGGGAAGGCCGCAGGGACACTGGTCCCAACCAAAAGCTGATTGGCTCCCAATGTGTCCCTCTCACTGATTCAAAACATATCATTGGATACCCCCCGGAAGAATTATGGCACCTTAAAAAATCCTAGAATTACTCCTGGCTCATGCCTCCCGCAGTTGGATCTGCGCCCTGTCTGGTCATTCCAGACACTGCCAGATGTCTACACCCACAGCCATTTTGGATACGTACATGAACCGGAGGAAGGCCAAATCAGGCCCACAGTATAACAGCCAAGCATTCCTGAGGGGACAGTGCTACAGGTCCACAGTAACATGCACCTCAAGCAAGGGGTGTAAAAGAGGTGGGGCCACATTGGCACCAGCTGAATGCTGATTGGTCCCAGGGGTACTCATCCCCTGTCACTCATCGATTCCAAATATATCATTGGATAGTGATAAGGTTGGTCCCTCCGTATGAATTATGACTTCCATTAATAATAATCAATATTTTATTGATCCCCATAGGGAAATTGTCTTTATGCCTCCCTCAACTTGCTCTTTGAAGAGTAAGCTGCCTGTGTAGGGCAGCCCAGGGAGCGGGGGGCTAGGGGTCTTGTTTTAGGACCTGCGGACAGGCTGAGGCTGGGTTTGAACTGGCGACCTAGACACACAGGCTTAGCCCACTGAGCCATACGCTGCCCCCCCTCTTTAAAAAATCCTTTGCCCCTGCCACAAGCAGTAATATGGGTGTGTGAACGAGGGCCCAGGATCTAGGGGTGACGCAGTAGAGAGTGTCGAAATGAGCAGCTCCCTCTCTGAGCTGGATCTCCGCCACGTACAGTCAGTAGCGTCTCCGAGGATATTGGCGTGGACGGCTCCGTGCTGGGGGGGTACGTGTGCGGGGGGGTTGGGGCTCACATACGCCTTCTGCCTGACTGAGTGAGCCAGATATGGGGGGAAGTCAGCCATTAAATCAGAGGGAAAACAGGAGAGCGAGCTGGGGCTTCTCCTGGCTCAGACCCCCCAGGGCGGCGAGTTACAGAGCAGCCGACCGGCCCACATGCGAGGCCCATCACACAGCATACAGAAAGCATGTTTTTCACGTGCGGGAACCTCCTGCCCACAGACGTGAAGGGCACGCAGCAGCATTGACAGAAGCCGTCGTTTCCGTTATGTCCATTAAGCCATGAGGTCTTACTTTCATTTAGCAGATTCTTTTATCCAAAGCAACAGACATTTATTGAGAAATCAGTCCCTGGAGCAGTTGGGGTTTAAAGGCCTTACTCAAGAAAAATTCTTTGCCGACCCTGGAATTTGAACCATCAGTCCTCTGATTACACGTGAAGTGTCCTAATCCACTGAGCCCTACACTTCTTTCCTGAGGAACCGACAGTGGAGGAAGTTCTTTGAAGGCCAGTTGCCTGCATTCGGGTCACCCGGCAGAGGACCCCGGCCTTGCGACTGCTTGTGACACTAAACATTCCAAAAAGCATCTTCATACAACCCCGAAGCTGTATAAACACTGACGAGTTCATCGTTTTTATGCCCAAAAGTCTGCCAGTGGCCTACTGCGTCTGGATTTTTGCTGCTTTTGAAGTTCCATAATGAATGTTGTTTTTTTCCCCTCTGCTTGAGCCAAAAGAGGCATAATGATCATACTGAAAATAAGTAATTTAAATGAGGTCCTAATTAATTAAATCTCATCGCGGTAGTGAAGGGAAAGCGATGGAGCTGCACAAAATGTGCTTCGCATACATATTCTGTGATAAAACAGTAAGACGTTTCATAACATTAAGTTAGTGGCTGGAGCATGCTGTACTAATACTGTGTATTAATAAAATGTAATATAACATTAAGCCGCGTTTAAGCCAGATCTAACAGGACTCAGATAATTAAAGACTATCACTGGGCTGAGGAGTATGAGATGGATGATATAATTTAACCGAAAACCGCTTTGGACTCGAAAAGGTGTTTTGTTGTGATTATTAATTTCCAAACTGAAAGCATGCCGGCTCTCAGGCAGCTGGGGAAGCTGTCAGGAAGCGGCCCGGGGCTTCCTGTCGGTGGGCAGCACAGCGCTACAGTGGTTAGTGCTGTTACCTCACGGCTTGGGGACCGGGCCCAGCGCTAGGTCTGTTCTTCCCCCGTCGTTGGGGGCTTTCCTTTGGCTTCTGCGGTTTCCCCCCCCAACGTCCACAAATGCACAACAGCTGCTAAATTCCCTGTAGGTGTGTGTGTGTGTGGATTAGGTTTATATTACATTGTGGGGACCAACGTAATAAAAACTTGTTTTTTTGACATTGTGGGGACCATTTTTCAGGTCCCCACAAAGATCTGTGAATGCAATCAAAAAAGTAAAAATGCCAAAAGTCTTGTATTTTGTTTGTCTTATCATTTATTTGGTTAGGGCTGGGTAGGGGTTAAGGCTGTCATAGTTAGCATTAGCATTTTTCCCATTGAAATGAATGAGCGGTCCCCACAAAGATATGTTTACACGACTGCGTGTGTGTATTTGTGTGTATGTGTGTGTGTTGATGGTGAGTGTGCCACGTGATGCATTAGTGCCCCATCCTGGCTTATTCCCTGCCTTGTGCCCGTAGCTTGCGGGATATTCTCCGGGCTGAGCAGGTATAGAAAATGAGTAGATGGGGTTCCTGTCGGTCACTTCCTGTTCAACCGCCACCCCGCTGGGCCCCCCCCACTCACCAAGCATTCCAGCAGCCTGGCGGGGCGGGAGATGATGATGAGGAGTTTCTTCACCAGCTCAGTGACGAATGCCACCTCAGAGCTCTCCGAACGCTCGTACGCCTGAAGGGGGCGGTAGAACAGATACCTCAGCCATTACGATTCCCCAACACCCAAGTGACCCAGTCAGACTGGACTAAATCCCAGCCCTGAATTCAACTCTTTGAAAGCCTTTTTTAAAAACACCCATTTGCATATTTAATCTTGCATTATGCCAACAGGCCGTCCCACTGGAGCTAATTCAGTTCTGAGTTCTGCTCAGGTGCAAAGCAAACAGTCAAGGTGCCCAGCAGAAATAGACCCAGTTAGATGTGTGCATCGGGGGGGGGATTGGTTGAGGCTCACATCCTGAAGCAGCTTCTCTAAGTTCTCCTGCAGCTCCAGGAAGTAGACGGAGGTGATGAGGCCGTCGCGCGCTTTCGTCAGGCAGTCGCGGGACAGCTCGGCGATCTGGTGGTGGATGAAGCTGAGGACCCCGTCAGCCAGAGGCAGCACGTTCTCCGGTGAGAAGGCCTGGATGAACTCGGCCAGACGCTCCTCCATCTGAGCCGTGGCCTGGTGGGCGGGGGGAGGGTAGGGGAAACATGTTATTCCCCTTGTTAGGAGGAATCAGGTCAAGAGCCGTGTATCAGCTGTCAGAAGGTTCAGAACAGCTATGTGGAGGCAGCTGTGCGCTGTGTTTACTGTCAAGGGGAACCGCTGCAGTACAAATTAATTTGTATTTAAAAAGGCACCTTGCGATACGATGAACCCCAACGCGTAACTAGCACAATGCAAACACAAAGTCCCCACAAGAATAACCTCAATTTTATAAGAATCTGTGTCTGCAATTAAAAAACTAAAAATGTCAGAAGTCTTGTATTTGGTTTGGCTGGCTAGGGGTTAAGGTTGTCATAACTGGGATTAGGGTTATACCCATAGAGATTTAATTACAAACTTGTGTGTGTATATGTGTGCATGTGTGTGTGTGCGTGTGTGTGCATGTGTGTGTGTGTGCGAGCGGGTTTACCTATCCTTATGGGGACATAAAAAGAGTTTTTTTTCCCTTATGGGGACCAGGAAACTCTATTTTATAAAAATCGGTGACTGCTATGAAAAAACTAAAAATGCAAAAACTCTTGTATTTTGTTAGGTTACTTATGGTTATTGTCACGCCCCGATCGTGCTGATCCTCCTGTGTCACACCCCGATCGTGCTGATCCTCCTGTGCCACGCCCCGATCGTGCTGATCCTCCTGTGCCACACCCCGATCGTGCTGATCCTCCTGTGCCACGCCCCCCTCGTTAACCTCATGTCGATTCCCAGTGTTTCACGGCTGTTTTCAATTGTCTGTATTAGTTCGATGTATTTAAGTCCAAGTCAGAGTTTGTTTCCCTAGTTCTGTCATTGTAGTGTCGTGCATTGTTATAGTCGTGTAATTCCGTGTTGTTGTTTTCCCGGTTATGCCCCTTCGTTCTCCAATTAAATCCTTTTATTTAACTCCATTCCTGCTTTCATCTGCCTGTTTCCCTGGTCCGTGTTTTACGCACTATGACAGTTATGGTTAGGGCAGGGTAGGGGTTAAGGTTGTCATAGTTAGCGTTAGCATTTTTCCCATTGAAATGAATGAGCGGTCCCCATAAGGATATGTGTACCCTACATGTGCGTGTGTGTGTGTGTGTGTGTGTGTGTGTGTGTGATTACACGTACACCAGCTCACCTTGGGGAATCGCTCCTTGTAGACATGATTCATCATGACGATCTCATTGTCATAGCAGGAGGGCGACCGTCCCGGGCTGGGGGGGACACAGGAAATATGCAATATGCAAACCGGTGTCTTTCTGTCTCTGCTATTCTGTTTTCCGGTCTGTCATCTACTGTAGCCGAGCGGACATCCATGCGGGAAGACGCTCTGACGGCTCCAAACAGCCCCATTATGTACAGAGAGGTGGCTGATGGGTAATGAGGGGGGTAGGGGGGCTCTCACCTGAGGCTGCGGGAGCGGGGGCGCACGTGCGGCGAGCGCCGCCCCCCGTCATCGTCCGTGATGCTCTCCGTGCTGCCGAAGTGCTTGGACAGGAAGTGCAGCTCGTCCATGGTGGGCTGGGAGGGGAGCTGGTGCAGCCGCTCCTGGGAGGAGGATACAGCCGGGGGGGTCAGACAACGGCAGAGATACTGACCGGATGCAAATAATATAAATAAAAGCCAGAGTGGGCCATAAGAATGGAGGGAGAACCAAGGTGAGGGCTGTGATTGGATGGTTAAAAATGAACTCTGATTGGCTGCCTGCTGTGTGTCAGGAATAACACAGGGTCTGCGGCAATCACTGAGACGGCGCAATGCAGCCGCTTGGGGGCGCCCCCCAGCCTCATACCCAGAGCCGCAGGATCCTGCATGCCTCACACGCAGGGATCCACTTAGGGGAAGCAAATGGAAGTGAGGGTGTCCACAGGAGGCTCTGGACCATTCTGACTCAAGGCCTGCGGATCATGCAGCGGGCCGCACCTCCCTACAGAGCCACTAGAGGTGCCACTGTCTCAAAACCATCCCAGTGTGCTCATGGGAGTTTAACTTACGCAAAAAATTTCTGAGAGTAGTTGGGTCCAAGCAATTAGAGGAGGCGGGACCAACCAATCAGATGTCTTGCTCCCGTCTCCTCCGGATGCTTGGACCAACCTGCTCTACAATCTCATTGGTTGTCTCGCTGAACCAATCATTTTTCATTCTGCCCTCAGAACATTTTCGTGTAAGTAAAACTTCCACTGCTTCCACTGTACATTTAACTGTGATCAATCAAGCAGGTTAAACAATTTTGGGGCCCAGTCTGAAGGCAGAACAAGAACAGGGAGGCAAAAAATATCTCCCATCCTTTATTTTCTTTGTCCCTCCTTTGTTCCGGTGCCTTTGGGTCGCTTCTCTCCCATTCCCATGCGCTCCGCTGCAGCTTAGCTCTCGATGCCGCAGCCCATCCAGTTCGGCCACCAATCAGGTGGAAACCCATCACGACAGACAGAGCCGGGGGGGGGGGGGGCCTGAACACCCTAAGAATCCGCAGGCAGAGCCAAGCTCAGTTCGTTTCTGTGGCTGCCCTTCGTTCCCCGGGGGGGCCCTCTGGATTGACAGCTGGGGGAGAGCGAAAAGCCCAGCTGAAACCGTGGCGAGCACCGGCTCCGGGGGGGGGGGCACAGTCATGCTCAAGGCTGAAAATCACATCGTTAGCGGTTAGCCGCCGTCTTGCTGCAGGATGACGGAACTGGCACAAGTGGGAACAGCCCATAGGGTGTCAGAGTGGCTTGATGCATTGCAGTGTAGCCTGGCACCTGGTTGTGGGTTCGAATCCTTTGTATGTATCAAGTCTGCATGTTCTTCTTCTGGCAGCATGGATGCTGCTTGTGTCCTAAATTTATAAAGTTGCCCACCTCTTGTTTTCCTTCAGATCCTGCTCTCTCTCTCTCTTTCCCATCTATTTCCACTCCCCCCTTTTTAATCCCCTCCTGGTTCCTCCAAACCCGACGGCACGTGAGAATCACGTTTCTCGCAGTCACCTCCAGCACAGATGGGCGTCTGCAGCCCCGATACCTTCCCGCTCGAGGCGGCACAGGAAGTCAGCCAATGGCGAGTCACGTTTGGAATATCTTAGCAACGGGCCTGCAATGGGTTATTTTTGACTCTGTGTAATCTGCCACTCGCAGGAAGCTCCTGGGAATGCTGGGAGTGCTGTTTTCTTTTGCTCTCTTGCACTTATTTGCAGCGTAAGGTGAAAACTGGACCTTGGTCTGGTATGTGTGTGTGTGTGTGTGTGGTCATGTACAGTGTACATTACATTGTGGGGACCAAAGGTCCTCACAATGTGATAAAAACCTGCTATTTTGACCTTGTGGGGCCATTTTTTCGGTCCCCTCAAGGGGACACTAAATTTTATAAAATTCTACAGCTACAATCAAAAAAACTAAAAATGCCAAAAGTCTTGTCATTTGTTTGGTTACTTATGGTCAAGGTTAGGGCTGGGTTGGAATTATGGTTGTCATTTTTGGGATTAGGGTTATGGCCATAGAAATGAATGGACGATCCTCAAAAAGATATGAATACAATCGTGTGTACATGGCATGTGATAACAGTACAGGGCCAATCAGTGACTGAAGAGGGCCCATGTAAGGATACAATGTATCACTCAGTCCTCTGTACACTCTAGGCTACACTGAGGTTAAAGGTCCATGAGCTTCACACACAGATTCAGATTTTTCCGTCTTGCTTCATAGTGTTTTTCTGGGTGTTCTGCAAGGGCGGCGAGGGGGGGGGGGTGACGTCAAGGCGGAGGGGGTTTTTTCAGATGGACGCATGCTCAACGTAGAGTAGGACCAACTGACTGGTACCGTAGAGCTGGGGGTATTGGTCCCATATCCCGAGGAGGGCAGCGAGGCCAGAGACCAGCGTCGACCATCCGCCCTGCGAGACAGAAACAGAGGTGTGTTCATCTCAGATCCCCCCCGACACTGTGATACATTGCATTTTAAAGGGGGTCCCCCCCCTTCACGACGGCCAAATATAAAAACGGAATATAAGACGTTCCCTGAGAGGGAAACATGTGACCGACTCGGGAACGAGGACCTCACAGGAAGTCAGGGTGACGACTTGGGGACCGAAAACAACCTCCAGGAGACCCCGAAGCAGCTTCCCATCAGCCTCCTCTCCCACCATGCAAAAACGGGGGAGAGCGTCAGTGTGGGGCCAGAGGCTTGACTGTGGAGGGGGAGGAAAAGCAGAAGGGGAGCGACGAGGGTGAGGGAGCAGCTAGAGATGGGAGGAGGGGGTGGGGGGGCAGGCGTTAGGGTTGGGGGCACACTGCTGCTATGGGACCCATGAACATTCTCATAATATAAGCCCTTTTTCTGTGGTAGGGATAGGAAGCTATTATTAGGAAGGATATCAGGTCGTCACGGTAACGCAGCATCAGTACAGCCGTGTTTTAAATGCTGTTCTCTTTCCAAGCTCAATCCAAGTTCAACAATCATGAGGAAACCCTGGGAAATTCACAAAGAGGACGGTGCTGCTACGCTCCATAGCTGTCATGGTTGCTTTAGTTACCAGTCTGGATTATAACTTTACCTCAAACACAGGCCTTAATCCCCGACCCGGATCTCCTGCGTGTGGCAGTCATGTACTGTGCTCACAGAACGTCTTGGGACGCTCACCTAATTCTGTAAAGATGTTGCAAATTTACTGGTTTCATAACAGTCCACTGACAAGCAATGTTTAACATATCTGCACATATTTTCCGCACGGACATTTTCTTTTTTTATTAAGTTTCATCATTTATTTTGAATGACTCATTCAATTCTGTACTTGCCATTTTACTATTAATTGAGATTGTATGCTCTGGCTCCCAAAGGGACACTAAACACAGATGTTTGCCGTTTTATGTTGTTGAAAAGGTGTCACTGATTAAAAAGCACCCAATGACACTACTTGTCACTGAAACTCAGAAAAGCTCTTACACAACTACAATTTGGGTTTCAATTTGTTGCTACTGTTAATGAAAACCTTACTTAAAACTACAGGTTGTTTCTAATGCGATATATATATTTTTTGTTAACAAATGAATAAAGTAGTGATTTTTGTTATAAAACAAATAAATTTGCAATGTCGGATGCGTTCCTTCCCATACCCAGTTTCCCTCCCTTCCGGGTCGCTGCCGTGTCCGTGCTGATATGTCGTGCCCCCTAGGGGGGCATCATCTTCCCGTCCCTTACGGTTCTCTTTCCGACTCGCTGTACCCCGCCGGTGCCGAAGGTCAGTGTACCCATTCTGTCATACGCATCCAAACACATATTCCTATGGCCGTTAACTGTATTTACTGTATTTGTTTGTGCTAATTTGCTCACTATCACCAATATGCCCCATATTATTGTTCTGTGTTATACTTTGTGTATACTCCCCATTGTTTTCGTATTGCCACTGCATCCTCACCGCTGTTGTGAACTCAGCTTTTTCCCCCAGCAGCACTTACCAAGTGTCAAGTGATGTTTCAGACAGAATGATTTGATTTTATGTGCTTCACCTACTATGTCGCCCTTAGAATGAGACTCACAAACAGAGCGCAGTCTTCAACATTTCACTGGGGCTTTGTTATATAATTAGGACCGGCAGGAAATACAGGTTACTGCAGACAGAGACGCAGTTTTGGAAACTGGAAACATTCTGCAGCGTGTCAACACTGACTGCCTGGAATGGCATCGTGGGTGTCGGAAAAGAGGTCATCTGACATACTGGTGACCCCTCAGAGGAGTTAGAGTAGAGTAGGAGGGAGGGAAAGAGGGGGGTTTCTTGGGGGGGGGGTTAGCTCAGTGGTGATGACGGGGCATTGGTGCCCGACAGGAGAGGGTTTTGGGGGACGTACCTTCTGGACGAGGCGAAGGAGAAGTGAGCCGGGGCGCTGGGCGAAAAGTTCCGGGGGCTGTCCAGGGGGCTGCTTCCTATAATTGTGGAGGGGGCGTGGTCAATGACAAGCAGCCAATGAGAGGAGGCGAGACTTAACCAACAACCAATGAAGTGCCACTCCTTTGCACTAAAAACCTGGTACACAGACTGGCAAGCTATCTACCCCTACCCCCTCTGTTTGCACTGTCCACTGTGTTTACACTGCATTGCATGTTGCATTGCACCGTGTCTACAAATGTATTGTAACAATTGTAACTATTCATTATGTTACTGTACATGCATTACATTAATACTTGTACCTTAATCTGTACTTCTGATCTCTTTCGTATTAAATTATGTTCAGTATAAAATATTATAGATCTCCATCCATTTTAACCACAGCATGTTTTGGTGTAAAACCGGAGTATCTGGGGAAAACCCCATAATGATATGGGGAGAGCATGCAAACTACACACACAGAGAGCGATGGGGGAGACTCGAACCCGGGTCCCAGGGGTGTGAGGCAACACTGCTAGCCACTGCATCACCATGCTACCCACACTGTGCTTGTGTTTTTAAATATATTTGGTATTCTGGCTCAGGAAATGACTGTAGAACAACTATATTATTGGAAATAAGAAAGAGACTGGGGAAACTGGTTACTTTTGATCAATGCGAAATGCTTTTGTTTTATGTGGTTTTGTATGTTGTGTACTGAAGTTTGTAAAAGAGTAAAGATATTCATTCTTTCAAGAATCTGTGTTTAGCAGAAGATATGCAGAGTAAGATTTTCATCACATAGTGGAACTCAAAGGTTACTTTGCACATGGCAAATAGACTCTTAAAATCTTAAACCGCTGGCCGGGCAAACTGCGTGTCCCTGGCACAGAACCAGCGTCGTACCCTTGAGAAAAGTACTGAAATCACTTCAGCGACTGGCTGTGCGCCCAAGTGCAGCGTTTGAGCCGCTCCGACCCAGGTGAAAGCGCCCGATAAGTTAAAAAATATAAGTGTATGCTTTTCAAAGCACAAAGTTTGGGCAGCACTCACCGATGTGGCCCGGCAGCGGGGAATGTGGGCGGGGCAGCGTGGGCGAGGTGCTGGTCAGGATCAGGCTCTTCCTGTTACTGGTGCGGCAGCTGTCAACGGGGAAAGCGGACAGGTCAGCGCACGGGCGGCTCCCGGCTCCCGGCTCCCGGTTCCCGGCTGGCTATGGGTCCACGAGGAACCGCATTTCACATCAGCGGCAGGCGCCAATGAACGTTCCAAAATCAGACAGTCGTGTCGACTCTCTCTTGGTGGGGGTTATGGGTCTTTTGGGGACCGGCTATGACAAGTGAGAAAGGGACATTCGAGTGTGTGTGCGCGTGTGTGTGTGTGAGCGGGTATACCTATTCGGTTTCCTGGTCCCCATAAGGGAAAACTCCATTTTATAAAAATCAGTGATTGCTATTGAAAAACTAAAAATGCAAAAACTCTTGTATTTTACTTGGTTACTTATGGTTATGGTTAGGGTAGGGTAGGGTAGGGGTTAAGGTTGTCATAGTTAGCGTTAGCATTTTTCCCATAGAAGAGAATGAGCGGGCCCCATAAGGATAGGTATACCCAACATATGCGTGTTTTTGTGTGTGTGTGTCTGGAAGGGGATCTGTTTGACTTAGCTAAGCACAGCTAGAAGTGCTATGCCGATAAAGAATTTCAATTTCCTCAGCTGTCAATCCCGGCCCGGTCTCCATTCAAGCTAGACGACGACATGGGGTAGAAAACCACAAATGACGCCTTACTGCTGTCCCTGTCTCCATAGAAGCAGACCCCCGAAGCTGAGTCCACCTCAGAGGTACGGCTGCTCACAGACTGTGACCCAGAGCTCCTGCCCCCAGCCCGTAAAGCCCTTCCTTTACCCTTGTGGGTGCAGTATATGACCCATTGGAGGCACCATCACCGTTAGGTTCTGTTGTGCTCATCATAAATGGCCTAATTGTTTGCTGATAGGCCTCGTAAACAATGGATGGGCCTTTGGTTCCAAATTAAGTGAAATAGGACCCTGCTGTCCAGAAGCTTGTTGGTTGGCTTGTTTCATTTCACCTCCTTTGAAAGTGTATTGATCCATCCTGGCCATAATCAAGCCCAGTCTCCCCCACTGCGGGAAGAGGATGAGGAGGGAGCCATTAAAGTAACCCCCCCCCCCCCCCCCCAAAGAGGAAATGAGCTCAGCGGCATGTCTCTGGTGGTGCTTCGTGTTGGGATGGGCGTGGGGGGGGGCTGTGAAGGGGACACAGATGGGGTTCCGGAGGTGGGGAGTCACCGCGGGACGACTGCGCCAGACGCTGCACGCAGAGACGCTCACACCTTCCGCTTCACACACCGTGGCCGGGGGGGGGGGGGCACGGCTGGTCGGCACACATAACCGTAACGGCCAGACACAACTAGGGTGCGTGTATTTGTGACAAGTCCATCGTTAATACATACAAACAAATGCGCAAATTAGAAATGACAGCTATAAGACAGCTAACATACAGCTGAGTATCACAACATCCAAATCTTTAAAATAACTTTAAGATAGATAATTAATTACTTCTCGAGAAGCCTGTCACCTCACACTCGCATTTGGGACAAATTTACACTTTATACTTTCATTTATTTAATATGTATGCTTTGGTACAAAGTTCTAGTATATCTTTGGTTTATGTTTTTTGCTGTGAGGTGTCTTGAATGGTATGGGGGCAAATCCAGCTCAATCACAGATTACTCTCCACTGTCAAGAATTGCCTATATATAAAGCAGTGTGGCTCTTTTCATTTTGTTGATAGATTGCTCTCCCTTCCCTTGTTTACTCCCTCTTGTCTCTCATTCATTCTCGTCTTCTCTGTTTCTCACCTATTTGCACCCAAATCTGTTTGTTCATCAAAATGCCACAGGAAGCTAGCGGCATGTGACGCTGTCCACCAGAGCGAGGTCCTATCAGGGACTGGGAGGATCACCTCACCTTTCTTCAGGAAAAGACAGGAATGGTTATGCACCAATCTGTTCCTTAGCGGTGTCCCACAGTATTCCCAATGAAGAATGTGAGGTCCTGGAAAACCGTCAAGAGGTTTATAATAATTAAATATTAGGCTTTGGAGGAAAAAAGTTTTTCCGATTGAACGTTTCGGAATAGAGGGTCGCCGCAGTTCTGTAGCTCAGGGCCGGACCGTCATGGCGCCCTATTCAGTCCTGCTCATATTCCTGCATTTGATCAATACCCACCTAGTCCCCAGCTGGCTTAGGGCGGGAGGCTAATCGTAAGGACTCTCGCACTCACTGAGTGTAAAAAAGTGACACCGCTAGGAGGTGCTAAGATCCATGTGTACTTCAGCGACTCTCTCGTCAGATTAGCCGGAAGCGCCGGAGCGGCTCTCATGCTCCTCTGACGCGCCTTTGCATTCAGCCGGACGTGCCGGATGACTCGTTGTGGGCTCTGCCGCCCATCAGCTTCGGCCAAACCCCAAGATCCCGTCTGGACCAGCCAAAGACTTCCCCAGGACGCCACACAGCCCACAGCCCGACAGGGCCGCCCGGCTCGGCCCAGATCACCGTCTCTAACGAGCAGCCGGTGACGTTTCCAGCGACCGAACGGCTGACGCTGCCACAACAGGCTACGGGACACGCGCCGCTCTGCGAGGGGCGTCTCGGGAAATGAAGAAACAAGCAAAGCAGGCTGTAATTGGTGCTCTACAGTCTCCCACCACAGCGGACCGGGCAGCCATCGGGGCCAGATAGGGGGTTGGGGGGGTTTAGCCTGTGGTCTGACGATAATGACCCCTGCAGCTCCATAACGGGCAGTTATCTCCCGGTCCCTCGGCATCCAGCCTCACTCACCGCGCCTCTTCAGTGCTGCCACACCTGCAGGCTCAGAGCTGATGTCCCGGTCATTACTCCTTATTCTCCCCGCACTGTCAGGCACCATTACCTGCCTCATATATCTATATCTCACAGCAGGCAGAGGGGCCTTCCTGCATCCACCACACCCAGCCCCCACCCCGCGTCTCACGTTCACCTCCTCCGCTGCCGGATGGGGAGGCACCCAGATAAGGGACACCAAGGGAGACTCTGGGAGCCGAAACGTCCCACTGCCGACGGTAACCTCAGACTCTCCTCAGGACCGGCCCGACGGCAAAAGTGACAGCAGGGAGGCCATTAGTGAACGGAATCGTGGGTAATGGCGTTAAGTGGTTCCGCAGATGCGGCAGATGGCTGAGGTTTTGGGACCTCGGTGCTGCGTCTTAGCAGCAGAGTGTCGTCATGGTTTCCGAGAACGGCTCGGCATCGTGGGAAAAACCGGCTTCTGTCCGCTCAACTCCAAACCCAGCGCAGAAAGTGTTCATTTCAGCAGGACACAGAAGACGATCCCAGTGCAGAAAGTCCAATCCGCAGTGCAGCACTTTTAAAAAAAAAAAACAGTTCTCAATGGACTGGCTTATAGGCAGGTCTCTCTGCTCTCCTCAAACCCCAGAAACTGCACTATGGGAAATGGATTCTAAATTAGTTCAATTAAAGGAAGCGATTATTTCAATCTAGTGCTAAGTGTTTGGGCACAATGAAAAACATGGGAATGCAGCAGTCGAACAGGGACAGTGTTCAGGAGCTCCAGGGCTGCTTCAGGATGATGGGACATGTCTCGTAACATCAATGTCCTTGACCAGCCCAGATAGTGTCCTCACTGGAAACGAGCAGATCTCAGACTGCAGCCCATAAACATCCACAGGCTGCCCTGGCAGAGCTCGCAAATTTATTCAGGACTGAATATGTGAAGGTCTCACCACCCTGGCAGCTGAAGGATGTCATCCGAAAGGACTCATGAGTAAAGATATGCAACCTGCATATTTTAGTTCTGATTTTTAACATTTTTCCGACTGATTATCTCAGCTGAGATTCACCGATCCTTGGGATGGGGGGGGGGGGATTACACTGAGCCATATAACATTCTCCTCTGCATGTACGTCTTTGTTTACCTGCATAGATGCAGGCAAGGCCAATCATATTCATTCACACCTTTATTCAGTGTAATAAAGACGAAAAACAGAAGGATTTTTTTTTATCTGCTTACATAAAATGAAAATAACTGTGACATAACTCAGAGAAGAATAGTCTACTTTGCATCTACAGAAAGGTGTAATACTCCAAATGCTTACACCAAAATTCTTCACACTTCCAATATCAAGCAAAGTATCGCATAAAATAATAAGCCATCCGGTTTGGAAGTAGATTTATATAGAACTTCTTAAATATAGAACCTGCTTCACTATTTCCAGTGTAAAAGGTGGGAACACATTAACTAAGAAATCCAGCGGTATCAGCCAGCCACTGCTTACACAAGCCAGGTGACAGGGATGAAAAAAATCAGGAAAAATGGAACTCAGCAAGTTTCAGCGTAGTGCCCCCACCATGCAGAAGTTCAAGGCTGTGAGGATGGCTGGGGGCCTCGCCAGGAGGGGAGCTCGGGACAGCGTTTTTGCTGTGTCCAGTGAGAAAAACATTCTGTGAGGCAACCACTAGACTAAAGGCGATGATACACAGGACAGCTTTTTGAGCAAATTTGCTGGGCAACTGCTAACCAGGTGAGACAAAGGGCAACTCATCTGGATCTGGATGATTATGAAAAGTTGCCCAATGCTGATCAAAGAGTTTGAAATAGAAATCAATGGGAAAGTATCCAAGCAACATTGGTCAAGAAGTTGCCCTGTGTTTCATTACCTTAACAGTCTGAGGGATGCTGGCATCTTCAAGGAGTGTTTCAAACACAATCATTCAACGTTAATTGCTTGACGCTGTTGTTCAAGGCAGAGCCATGGGTCGCAACCAAAGTTCTCAAAGTGGCAAGTTCTCAAAGGGTCATGGGGCAGAGTCGGAAAGCATTTTAAAATCGTCAAGCTCCTATGCTTATCCACGATCAGATTCCCCAGCCCCAATCCTAGAATTAACCTATATAACAGGTCTTGGGTCTGCAACTGCTTAGCACAAAACTAGTGACCACTCAACCAATCCAAGAAGCCAAACCACAGCTGCTTAAAATTCAGTGACACATCCAATCAGATTTGTGCAATAGGCATTGATTGCTCTGTGCTTGATCATAATGTTAATTTACACCTGTACTTGATAT